ATTGAAAGGATACATGCTCTATGCTGCTCTTGTGCCCAGGGCAGAAATCAGAGGGCTGGAAGGAGGGCCCTTGACATACCTTTGGGTGATAAGGCCTGGATCCTGCCCATCTTTAGCAGTTTACCCTGCAAGACACACAAGGAGGCTGGGCCTCGTGCACTTACTTACTGCTCAAGTAAAAGTGGATTTCTACCAACCCTGCATCCATCCAGGGCTCTTAGCTGAGCCTGTGAGTGAAGGGCCCAGCATACCTGCTCTTTAACTCTCCAAGGTGCAGGGTAAGAAAAGGCGCAAGGTGTGAGCAGAAATGGCAATGGGGCGGAGGGAAGGGGGAGTCGCAGCTGAGGAGCCACAGGCATAGCTGTTTAGTGAAATTGTGGCTGCTCTCCTTGCCCATATCAGTGTCTGATCCTTTCTTGCCCTCAGCAATATCCTGAGGCAGTGAGTCCCAGAGGTTATTTTTTATCAGTAATTTTGGCTTCAGGTTTGGAAACTGGTGGTTTTCTTTTCTATCTTTTCAAGTCTTGGTCTCCCCAACCATCATTTGCAAATGGTATTACATTTCCATCCTCATGTCTAGGGCCTCTTGTTTTTGCAGGGCTATAGATCTTCCTGCCAGCCAGCTGTGGGTCATTTACAAGCTCAGCATACAGTGCTCTCTTTGGCAGCTCACTTGGATTCTTTGTATTCATTTTCATTTACACTTGGATTCTTTTTCTCCGCATGCCATTTTCTTGGTTCGGATCACTCTTGCACTTTGCCAGTCCTCCTCCACTTCTCTCTTTCACTTGTTTTTTCCTACCTGCATCATCCACAAATCTCTTCTGCCACCACAGTCCCTATTCTTTTGAGGTGGTGCCGCTCCGCTTCAATCGGCGCCAAATCTGTTTCCAGGCACTTATCCTGTGTTGACTGCACAAACTTCTTTGCTGCACTTCTCCTACTTTAATCTGGTTTCATTTCAGCTTAGTTCCCTCCTTGCCCCAAAGGGTTTGTGTTGCAGTGCTACCATCCTGCGCTTTGGGATTTCCTCACCAGGGCTGGTGTAACCACTAGGCAACCACCTAGGGCACCAAGATTTGGGGGAGCCAAAAAGCAGTGCCCCCCAATTTTTTTTTACACTGTTGCTCCCGGCAGGGGGACGCCGTGGCTGGCAGCGGCAGGGGAAACACCAAGGGTGACACAGCCAGACACACAGCGACACCATCTGGTGCTGAAGCACCTGCTTTGAACCAGCCTCTCCCTCCCTGCTCCCCAGCCCTCGCCACCCCCAGTTCCTCCTCCTCCCCCGCCCAGCCAGGGACTTGCTGCTCTCTGTCTCTGCCCAGGCTCGGAGCAGCCCCCGCTCCAGCCATGCCCCGTGCAGGGAAGCAGCCCGCTGGTAGTGCTCCCCCCGCCACGGGGGTGCCAGCCCTCTGCCCCGTGCCTTGCCGCCAGGTGGGACTTTTGAGCGATGAGACGGCCGAGCCACTGGCTGGCTTTGTCTCTCTCGGGGATCCTGTGGATCGCTGCTCTCCTCTTCTTCTCGGGGGTGAGGAGGAGACTGGAGGTAGAAGGGCAGATGCCAAAGGTAACAAGCACCCGCTTCTCTTCAGGGACTGGTGGCGGGGGTCCCGCCTGGAGTGGCACCAGGGGGCTTTGCAAGAGCAGTGTGGTGTGCCCAGCTGTCCCGCAGGCTAGAGCCCCTGCAAGTGGCCACGGGGAAATACCCCGAGCACACGTGCAGCTTTGAGAACAGTCACATGTGGGAAGAACTGCTTGGTTCGGTGCCCTCCCTCCCCCTGTGCTCATGCTGTATGCCAGGCTTGGGGAACTGGGTGCCAACTTCTTTGCAACAGTTTGCCAGTGAAGCCCTTTAGGCTCTTACTTCCCTTAGAGAAGGCAACCAAACCAGGGCATGATGCACTGAGAGCATCATCACTAGTGGCCTACATTTGTCCATTAAACCCCTGCCACCATCTCTTCCTGCCCTCCTCCCCAAGGGTTTTTAATGGAGCGAACAGGATTGCATGGCAGCCTAGCGATTAGCCCAAAGGCCAGCAGCGTTTGCTGTGATGGGACTGGAGAGTAGCTCGCTGGTTTCCTTGCAATCTGTGGGAGTTTTTCAGAGATGCTGAGCACTTCAGGTCTCACTCAAGCAAATCAGGCCAAGAATGACACCGATGACTCTGCCCTGGGCCAGAGCTCTCTGAGTAAGGGGCTTCAGCAGCAATTGGCGTGGAGCAGAGTAAAGCAACCAAGACGGTCATGACGGAGGCTGGAACTCTGTCCTCGCCTCGCACCTGTGGGGAAGACAGGCCTTCAGACACCCCTGCTGCTTGCATTGCGCTTTCCAGCCCAGGAGCCAGGGATCATTTCACACCTTAGTGCTGGGGGGAGTTGAAGCCCAGACCGGGGAAGTAACTTGCCTGAAGTCATCCAGTGAGTTTGTTCCAAGGTGGAGAATAGAAGCCAGATCCCGACTCCCAGCTCTGATCCCCAAAACAGCCCTTTCCAGATCAGCGTTGTGGGTGTACAGGAAACCCGATGGATGGGGAAGCAGTGATTTCGGTACTTTTATTCAACAAACTGGATACATTCACTGTTGCTACTTTCATGATACGATGCTTTTTTGGCTGTGAAGGGCACTGCTTTTCATCTAGCTTTGCTCTGCCTGCTAGTCCCCCTGCCCTACTAGAGCAGTGGGTCTCAAGCTTTCAAGACTGTACCCCTTTCAGGAGTCTGATTTGTCTTGCGTACCCCCAAGTTTCACCGCACTTAAAAACTACTTGCTTACAAAATCAGACATAAAAATACAAAAGTGTCACAGCACACCCTTACTGACAAATTGCTGATTCTCTCATTGTCTGTATGACATTGATTCATAGTGACTTCGCTAATGCTTTTTATGTGGCCTGTTGTAAAATTAGGCAAATCTCTAGATGAGCTGATGTACCCCTTGGAAGACCTCTGCGTACCCCTGGTTGAGACCCGCTGCTCTAGAGGACAGTTCAGACACTGGCTGCCAGAAATCCTACTGGCTCAGGGATGCCCTGCTTGAGGCGGGTGAATTTCTGGGCTAGGGCTGAAATGCCCTCCCACTGTTAGCAGTAGTCGCTGGCGCAGAAGCATACAGGCCAGCCTCACCCCTCCTTATAACCAGTATCTACTACTGCCCTTTGGTAACTTGCTAGAAAAAGAAGGAAAGCGCTAGCTCCAACCGTCACTTTATGCTAAGGACTATAGTGTATTTGTTGGCATCCCTGACACACTGCAAGAAGAGGGCCTTTCCCCGGTTAGATTAAATGTGCACCCAGTGGACTGCCAACAGGTGGTAACATCAGCTTTCACTGAACCCATGGATGGGGGTGGGTCTGCGATCAGAGTTTTCCTTCTCCCAGTTAGGCCATCCTCGCTGGGCTAAAGGGCCCCAGCTACTCTGAGCGATCTGGCGATTTGAAACGTGCCAGAAACCCACCTTTCATACCCCACCTCTGCCATGTGAAGGGGAATTTAGCTGTCAGAGGCTATTCTAGACCCCCCACGTACTATAGGCCAGGTTTCTGTAGCCTTGAATGTTCTGGGACAGACACGAGAGACGAGGTGGATGAGAGAGACAAGCTTTTGAGCTACACCGAGCTCTGGCCAACAGAAGCTGGTCCAATACAAATATACACTCACCTACTGCTTTCTGGAGGCATTTAATAGGTGGTGGGAGCTCACTCTCAACCCCACCTCAGCCGTAACAGCACTTTTGGGAGGTCCTCGTAGTCTTCTCTTGTTTTGATTAACATACATCGTATTTGCGATTTTAGCCACCTCACTGTCCATATGAAACAAGTCCCTTGGGACAACCCACTTAATTTTCTACCCTGATGAAAATTGACCACCTATTCCTGTTTTCTGATCCAGGAGAATTTAGTTTCCTTAATTCTCTTATGGATTTTGTCAAAGGCTTTTATAAGTCCAAATCAATTTTGTCAAGATAGTCTCCTTTGCTGTTTTGTGGACATGCTCCAAGAACTTTAAATTTAAAACAGTTCTAAAACCTACAGTGTTACGTATTTGTTACCATAGGGACAAACCAGCTCAGCTTCTGTAAACGAAAATTGGGCCTCAAATATTAGAGTTTCAATCAGTTTAACTGGTACTGAAATAAGACTTCCACAGATTTCTCCCAGCACCTATTTTAAAAGGAGGCACCATTTGTTACTCTGTGGGTTGGGGGAATTATTCATCAACGAGCAGGACAGGATCGCTTCCCGGCACTTTAGGGGGCTAGCTAACGAACCCAAACATCAGGTTTCCCGGTGGGATCCAACCTCCAAACAGCTAGTGAGCAAACCCCACGCGTTCTAGCCAGGGGCACACGCTACTGTGAGGGAACACACCTTTCTGTAAGGAAGTTTGGAACTTCGAAGTGCTTGTCTACAACCTATTTTTCCCTTACAATTTCCTACCTACAGTAGCCGTCTTCCTGGCCCTGCCCTCTTCAGCACATTCAACAGCGCTGCCCAGCACTGATTTGAGCAGGGTTAAACAATGGTGGCAGGGTCAATTTTGGCGTGCCCATTGTTGCTACCATCAGAGGACAGGCACTGGTGAGAAATTAACAAATGTCTAGTGTAATCACAGGCCAAAAGATTAGCAGCAGCGAGGAAGCAAATACTTTGGCTGTTAGGCACGTTCCTTTGTCTTAGCTCTCAAAGAGCCGTGAAACAAAGTGAAACATAGAAAGTAGCTTTTCATCCTCGCTAGACACAGCTTCCCCAATATGCCTTTTACATTAACGCTTTATGAAGAAGTCATGGGTGGGGGCTGAGGGGAAGGGAATTTGGAAATTCAAAGGGTTAAACTTAAGTGTTGGGTTCTGGCCAACTATTTTTGAAAGTGTAACACCACATGGTATCTCCTGCTGGTTGAAATGGACTTTTACCAAGTTATTCTCGCAACATTCCCCAAGTTGTACTAAAAGTCCAGGCTCCAGATCAAAAAGGATTTGACCACAAAAAGAATAAAAATGCATTTTTCTAAAATGTTTGCAATTTATTTAAATGAGCACATTAATTTACAGTTTAATACAAAATGGGCACTTTCCCTGCTAGAGAGGTATCACGCTGACATTTTCATGTTCACTACTTTCTCTTTTATTCAAGTCATTCAATTAAAAATAAATAAAACACTTAAATTACTGAATGGTTATATTCAGTCTCAACAGCTTGTAGTCAACATTTTTCAGACACATAAAATACATTTGAACCTTTTGTAAAAACGCTACTAATATCCAGTTCTAAATAGGAGTCACATGAAATGCACACAATTTGCAGTTAAAATTAGAACTCAAGGGAAGAGTTTCATTTTGGCATTCTTGGCACTGTAACTTCCCCTCCCCTCTTAGACCTAGTAGGTCCTATATTTGTTATTTTCGCTTTTTTCTGCAGTTTAATATTTTCACACTGAAAACCTCTGAACAGCACAGAACCCTTTCAGTGCGTTACGATGGACAAAATTCCTTCCTGAAAATGGAAGTTTGATATGATCCATACATATTGATTTATCTCACCTTGCAAATTTTGGAACTTAGCACATTATACAAATCAAAATTCCAGGATTGAATAGGTGCTTTTAAAGGCATTTTAATAAAAGAAAATAACCAGATCACAGGGTATTTGTAATACAGCATGTCAAAACAGCATTGCGTTATCGCATGACGGACACTTAACACTTTCTGGAGACGCGGTCAACCATGAGTAAAATCGTATTATAGCACTGAATGTGGAAATCCATCAAGACAGTCATCACGCACAAAAGGAAATAACTCAGATCAGTTTAAACCTACACAACAACAGCACATAAACTGAGATTTACATAACTAAACCCAAAGTTCAGGGTAGCTTTTCCAAGTGAGGTGGGCGTTGTTACCAATGAAAATGAAAGCCATGTACCAATTACATGGCAGCACTTAGCCGTAACACCAAGATTGGATAATCCAAATTCTGTTTACATCTATCTGTATTCTTTGAGAAAAAAAGCCATCCTGTAAGTTTGGGTATGTGTTCCACTTCCCATATTTCAAACAGCATAAAGGCAGAGTGAAAGCTTACAGTATTTATGCACTGAACAAAACATTTTCTTCAATGCACCACCCACAAGCTGTTCTAAGGGCAAAATCATCCCCATGATCCTTTAAGTGGCTCGATTGGTTCGATTAATATACAGATGAAAACAAAATGAGACACAAAACTAACAATCCCAATTCTACACATCCAGCAGAGGTAAAAATAAGATTCCTTGCTCTTTTAGTATCACACATTTAGTATTAAAGATCCCTCTGAGACTAATCAACATTTTCCAAATCAGGTGCCCAATTTTTAGAGATGCTGAGCTCCCTCCACTTTGTCAAGTCCACCTGAAAAAATCAGGCCACTTGGTTAGGTGCCTGACTTAAAGCCTCCAAGTTCCAAAATGTTGGCCTCTGTTCTAACTAGCCTCCCACTTTGGGGGCCCCACTATTTGAAACCCTATAATAACAAAGCACGATGGCACTGATCAGACTGAGAAGCTTAATTGTTAACTTCCACTCTTGTTTCACCAGCTCTCAGATTATTTAAAAAATGTGCCCCATGAGACCTTACAGGGATTCTTAACAATCCCACAAAAGAGGAAGCAAGCCATTTTGGCCCATCGTGCCACACCTTTAAAAACATCAATTTACCTAGAAAAATGCAGACTGATGTGAAATTGTCATGGCTGCTTCTTCACATCCATTTCCGGAGAAATTCCTACAACTTCACAGACACCCCAAGCAGAAAACAGTCACCCTACAGCAGACTCCGCTCCCTCACCACACTGCAAGGGGCCCAGGCAGTAGCGACAGAATACAGAACACCTGCATGGGTGCTCACCCTCTAGCTCCAGGTATAGAGGTGGGGTTTGTCATGCATGCAAAGCCCATTCATTCAGGCTTTGCACATGGGCAAAATTTTGCCCTAAGGCAGCTTAAGAAAAACATGAGTTAATTGTTTCTTCACAGCTCTTGTCGTGTGAATGCAGATTTAGGCATTTTTAGACACATACAAATGTATGCATAGTACATTTCTTGAAGTGGTTATTGTAAATATGCAATAGTCACTTCAGGTCCCTTTACACTGGCTTTCTCTGAATAATCATTTGCCTTCTTTTAAATAGTTACATGAAGCTGTAGTTTGACACACAACTCCCTATAATTTCCAGTTGTTACATATATGTTAATAAAAAAAATCACGTCCTTGTTGAGACGCATGTGCTAAGTTTTAGCTCATTTTTACTGCAAAGTTTTAACTTTATAATAGGGCTTCCAGTGGAAATAAGGGGACATTACGGAAGTACACAGATTAATAAATTAAATGAAGGAATAAATGATTGAATTAGCCTGGAGCTGTTTATTCCCTCTCTCATAATACAAGAACAAGGGGACATTCAGTGAAATTGACAGTTACCTTTAACACTGATATAAGGAAATACCTTTTTACACAACATAATTGATCTGCAGAACTCAATGCCAAAGGAAAACATTGAGACTAGAGCTTGGCAGGTTTAAAAAAAGATTAGACATTTATAGTGATAAGAAGAACACCAAGAGTTACACTAGATAGAATTGTAAACCTCATGCTCCACAGCATAAACCATCCACTGAGAGCTGAAATCAGGAAACTTCTACTTTGGGCTGGTAATTTTGTTATCTGTTCACTTCATGGCTTCTTATGCCTTCCCCTGAAGCATCTGGCATAAGCCACTGTCAGAGACAGGATACTAGACAGCTAGACCAGTAGTCTCATCTGGAATGGCAATTTCTATGTGCCAAAAAGCTGCCACAACCCATACTGGAGTAGAAATGATGAGCACAATTGCAGCTAAATGTCTGTTTAGAACCAGGGGTCACGCCAATGAAATTAATAAGCAGCAGGTGTAAAAACAAACATAAGGAAGTATTTCTTCACATAATGCAGTCAACCTGTGCAACTCATTGCCAGGGGATGTTGTGAAGGCCAAAAGTATAACTGGATTAAAAAAAAAGTAGAGAAGTTCCTGGAGGATAGGTCCATCAATGGTTATTAGCCAAGACAGTAAGGGATGCAACTCATGCTCTGGGTGTCCCTAAACCTTTGACTGCCAAAAGCTGGGACTGGATGACAGAGGATGATCACTTGATAATTGCCCTGTTCTGTTCATTCCTTCTGAAGCATCTGGTACCGGCCACTGTCAGATTCTGGAGTAGAAGGGACCACTGGACTGACCCTGTATGGCCATTTTTAGGTTGTTTTTTAATCCAAACAAACAGTGGAATGCACTAGCAGAAGGAACATGCATAAGGAGATTGTCTTGAATCACTCATATTTTGGTAGCACAAGAAAACTTTACAATTGGGAGCAGAGATTCCTCACCACCTCGCAGGCTCAGGATGGGAGATTTCGAAATGAAATTCTTACATTGTGGAACCCTTTATACTGAAGTTTTTTTGTATGTGTCACAATGTTGTAAAAAATTCACTGTAATCAGAACTGCAATTTGTATTGGCCCACCGAAACCACTCAGGACTTTCAGTCTATTTGACCTGGCATGGAGTTTCACTTTCTTAGAGCTCATGAGAAGTGGCTTCCAATAGTGTCATTCAGCAGTACGGTATTTCCTCTAACTATTCCTTAGTTACTTCCCTACTTAATAAATTAGCAAATAAAGAGTGGATTATTTAATGCTATGCTTAAACTTGGAACAGAGGGGCAGGCAGAAAGATTGGGCCTGGTTCTGCTCTCACTTACAATGGTGTAACTCCACTGAAGTCAACAGGGTTCCTTTTGAACGGACATTGCCATACACAAGATCAGAATCAGGCCTCTTGTATACTATTCAGATCATCCAAATACCCTGAATTGCTGAGCCTCCTGGAAGTGCATATTCCCTTAGTTGGAACTAAGGGGTGAGGGAGAAACTGTATTTGGACACTTATGGCTTCCAACTACAAAAATGTAATGGAGAAAAAATATTCATTTTTTTAAAAACGTAATACATTTGTAAAGTTTATTCAATTAAAATACTTTTTCTTTCTCTGAAAAAAATCAAAATTCTTTCTTCTGCAAAGGCAACAACAAGATCTCACACAACGTGCAGTGGGTGGACAGGTAGATTATTTAGTCAACTCAGGATAAAATTAAAAGGCTGTTTCAGAACACACACAGTAGTATTCAGTTTCTTTCCAAAACTTGGAGTAACTAATTACACAGTGCAATTCTTCACATTAGAGACCAATAAAGGACGGAAACAGTAAGTAATGATATGTTAATGGAAAAGTTCAAAGTTTCTCCTTTAGTAAACACTTTAAGTTAGTGCTATGGACCTGGATACTAGACATATATTGGGATTCCTAGAGCAAGCTCTTACAGCACTAAGTGAGAACACTGGTGAAATGAGTTGGGAGCTGGGGAGGAGGGCTTTTGAAACAATACTGTGTATAAAATCCCTGATCATAAATATTAAAGCTGCATCTGGTACTGATCAGCCACTTACAATGAAAATATCATTTCTGATAAGTTCTACACAGCTGGACGATAATACCTCACCTTCCACCGTTTCGACCTCATTCGGAAAAAAAAGTACATTATCATTAAAAATAAGGACGATGCTACATAAAGTACAACACATAGACTCATGTCTATGTTAGAAAATCCAATCCCTAAGAAAGACACAGACGGCTTGGTCTCTTTATGGATAACTGATTCGATTGCATTTTTACCTCTATCTTTGACAGGTCCGTTATTTGTTATTAATTTATCTAAGACCTTAGATTTTGAATCCAACATATTTTGTTGATCCAGGATCTTGTCCTCTTTGTCTCCACTCATTTTCTTGGGTAAATTTTTGTCTTTTCTCTCTCTCACATCCCCAAGTTCTATTTCATTAGCGTTAACCTGGCCTTCTGCGTATTTATATAGAATATTTTCATGGTGATAGTGATGCTTCAAAAACTGTAGCACTTGGGCCTCATTCCAACTGTGTAACCCTTTAATTTCATCATGGCACTCAGGACAGAGATCTGGAGTTGGCCACTGAACTTTAGGAAATTTTGGGTCTTCACTTGGATCACCTAAGTAAGGAAAAAGAGAAAATATAAATGGACAAAAGAATTTAATCTATCCATCTGCTCATCTGAAACTGAGGAGACTATTTTCCATTTAATGCAAGTAGTAAGCTTAGTTTAAGGCAACAATAAAAGCCACACTTAAAAAGCAAGAGTCAACAAGTTTATACTAATCTAAGAATGAATTTTGAAATCAGTACAAAGCCTTCCTTGCTGAAAATGTTAATTTTCATATTCTGAGTTACTGCTTTTTTCTTGGAGTACACAAACATTAAATTATGACAGTCTCCCTGTAACAGGAGACCAGGTCACAAATGCTAGTTTTATCAATGATAAAAACCACTCAATCAAATGCATTTCCAGGAGTTAATTGAAGTTATGGCTCAAAATGAACTGCTCTTCTGGGCACAGTACTATGTAGTCCTGAAGCCTAGTTTTCGGAAAGATGCTTCAAGGCCATTCAAAGTCTTGTAAATACATTTACAAGTTTCTATAGATACTGGCAACAATTCCATCCTTACCCTGCTTATTTCAGAAGTGTGTTTTACTATTATAGCAAACCATTTTCAGTACTTAACAAGCCAACTGAAACATTTTAAATGTATGATCATGGTTTTTAAACTTTTAAATACAGTATATAAGCGTTTCTCTTGGACTGGGTTCAATTTTAGTGTTTCAATTTCTCATAGCAGCAGCCGCCATCATTCTGTCTTAATTGGTGGTAGCTGTCCTCTATAGCTAGTACTGGACTTTGTCTGCTCTAGAATAAACTCCTTAAACTTCAATTGAGGTATTTTAAAACAGAAGTCCTCATCTGGTTGAAAAAACTAACATGGCTACAGTGTCTATAGAGCACCTCTGATTTTGATTAATACATTTATTGTTCAAAGATTTCACAGAACTATGCTAATACACAACAGGAAATAACTATTTGTAGAATTCACTAGGTGGCTTTTAGAGAGAGCCCTACTCATTGTAAAGTTCCTATACTTCAGATTAATCCTAAATCACAGTCTGAAAGAGAAAACAGATTTTAACAAATTTAGCATATATAATTTGGCATTATTATTTGCAATGCATGTTCAAAATTTTTACTAGAAGGGACTTAGACCAATTGTTGCATCACTCAAACCAGCATCTTAGTGAACTCTCCAAGGAGGAAATATTTTTTTTCTAAAATATTATATTCTATCTTGACAATACTTAGCAACCTATTCTGAAGAAAAAGACTCCAATTTTTCCCTTTACCCCCTCAGACACTGGTAACATGCATTATGGGGAAATATTATCTAATATGTTGCGTGCTTCTCCTGCTTGGAGGCACAAGATAAAATGTTTGTATTCAAAACAATATTTAAAACTTCCCATATCTTGGGAATGCAGCTTTACCAGAAAATAAACACAATGTTGTACATTTGAATGGTAAGTAATGTTACATACACTAATCCATAACAGCAGACAGGTACTAAGTGTAAATAGAAACCAATTTTCTTTAGTGCTTTAAGTTATAGGACACCTGTGCAACACAATGGATTAAATACAACCTAATAGTTTGGTGGTGTTTTAGTCCAATGGTTATAAAAAACCTCCATAGGAAAATAAATCTTGTTTGATGAATAATTTTAGTTTATTCCATTACTGATTTATGAATCATTTACGCCACTCTACACAGAGGAACAGAATCCTGTTCAATTATGATCTTCTAAACTACATTTCTCTAGTGATTTTTGTATTCCCAGCTAGAAAAAAAATGAAAACAGGTTTTAATGGTGATCTAAAACATTCTGGAAAGAACTGTAATTATTCTTGTCCACAGATTAGTAGCTGAGCTGCATTGCTCAGTTTCAAACAGGCTTTGCATTGCCCTCTGGAAAGATCATCCCATCATGCAGCAGATGGAACTTCAGAAATACTGATGCTCCTGAGAACAATGGAGCCTCTTCCACACACATTATTGTGTCCTGAACCATTGTGACCCGAAGACTGGTGTGCCTTAAATGGAAGTTTTACTCACTCAAAAGTTATTTCTGTTGGAATTGGAAACGTGCCCTGTGATCAGTTCTAATAACTTTTGAACACCCACAGAATTAAGACCACTATTTGTTCAAATTATATTGTAGAACAGTACTACCATCATAGCCACCAGACCAAAGCTAGCTTTGGTACATGTTCCTACGCCAGATCTCCCATACCGGCAAGCCTGTCATTCACTACATTGTGCTTCTCCCACAGCCAGAGAACAGCTTTGTCTAGGGTTTTCACAGACTCCATGGATTCTTTCGCCATCTCTTCAAAATGCTGTGCACAAGCCTTGCACCCAAAAAAGTGCTGAATATACCGCCGCATGATCTGTAGGACCACTTGGGGATTATCTTCAAAACCTGTAAAGAGCAATGGGTCCCCGTTAGCAGCACCTGAACAAACACAGCTTCCAATATTATTCCACCCGCACAAGCAAACACATCGCAAACCAAAATAAAAATGCATCGGGGGGGGGGGGGGGGAAGGAAATGCTGCCCCCTGTTGGTTCCACACCATGATGCTAGCATTTAAAATGTAGAACGTTGGTTTTATTTTACAGATGTTCTTTATGTGGATATGTGAGCTCACACAGCAACTGCACCTCAGTGAATCACAACTGAGGTGGACAGTGAACAGTTTTGCATAAAAAACAGTTCTGCTGCCTAAGAAAAACTGCTATTTCTACATATAAAACCTTGTTGTAAACAAATACTAGACAGACACAGAGGTGTTAAAGATATTTGACTGTACAGAGGTGCACTGAATACAGGATGGATAACATTATATATAGTATCAAAAGCTAATCAGTGGTGTTCACTCATTTCCCCTGTCAAAGGATATTTTGCCAGTACAGAGAAGAAAGGCAGTTACAAGATCTACGTGCAACATGGATGGTAAAACACTTTTCTCAGAAGCTCAAGTCACAGAATAAGATTTGGCACTGTGAAGCCAACTGTAGTTTCTTCATACAGCAAGTGATATTTACAAAAATAGAGTATACTCCAAGACCTCTTTCAATGACTGAATGAACACACATGTCAATTCAATATTAAATTTGTGCTCAGATACTATAATGATGGGTGACCTCATTTAAAAAAACCCAAACAGCAAAACCCCTCTAAGAGGTAACAATGTCTCAGTAGCCCCAATCTGCCTCTCACCTTTCATTAATATTCTCCGTAAGTTTGAGGAACACAAATATCCCCTTCTTACTACATTTACATAAACACGAAGACATACATATATGTATATTTAATACAGTGACTTTACTTAACACTTATAAAAATAAGAATTTTGGAATGATTTTCTGATAAAATCATGACGATTGGTTCATAGTGTTTACACGTCCATGCTGAAGATACATGAGTGCATTATTATGGAGTGCAGAAAAAGTGCTAAGACCTCTTCAAACGAAGAGCCTTATCCTGCCGTTATGACTGCATGCACGGTTTACTTCTACAAGCAGTCCTTATTCAAGTCCATGGGCCCGTAGTCAGCAACAGAGTGGTCTGTCTTACTTCTCAAAGATGTAATTGCAGAGCTGTGTACAGACGTCTGACTAGTATACTTAACTTCTCCTGTAAAACACACTGTAGTATATTTACTAGTATACTATGAATGATCATAAATAATTGATGTAAAAACCTTTGTCAAATGTAGTATATTTTGTGATGTAACACCCTGGATTGAATTGACTGACTGAATTAGCAACTACTGTAGCTGAACAAAAGCTCAACAATCTGCAATGGGATGAGCTACAGTAAGGTTCTACCATAACTGATTACAGCATTTAACTGAATATATCTTTCTAATGGCATATGCAAAATTTTATTTACATTTACTATTGTTAAATATAATTATATTTGAAGTACTTTTTAATTTCAAAACAGTTCTGTAGTGCATCTATAACCTCCTGCCCTGTTCACTGGAAAAATTGTTAGTACAAGCTATTAAAAATATTAACTGTTTATGTACTCCAGAAACATATGTACAAGGGTCTATTCATAAAACACATGTAGGCAACGAAAACAGCAGCATTATGCTGTAAACATGAAAGCTCAAAACATAAAAAGAAATGATTTGAAACCAAAGAGAAGTAATAAATGGTGAACAATCTCTACTCAGACATTCAATATCTGTGATTGAACAGACATGTATAAATAAAAAAAACAACTGAGATTAAAGCAGATTAAATGTGAGTATTAAAAGAACTACTGAAAAATAATTTTAGAAAGCCAACATGAATTTCAGGCAAAACAAAACTATTACTAAGCAACAGTATTTTAAAGATTGATCTTTTAATTTTTTTTAAACAAACGCAGTTTATACTATTCTTCAGATTATTGGCAAACTCAGCCCCCTTATATAGGAGCAAAGAATCACACGCATATACATAACCATATACATTAACTCTTAAAATTCTACATCCTTGAAATCTCAAGCATCACAATGTTCATCTTTTGACAGTTCCTAGTGATTTTATGGATTTACAGATTCTTGAGAAAATTTGGATGTTATCAATAAAACAAATATAGGACTGCATCCTGCAAAACCTTACACATGTAATATTTACTCATGCGAATAGCCCCATGTTCTCAACAGGACAGCTCATATAACTAAGGATTGCAGGATTGAATTCTTGCAATGATTTTAAGCGCTACGATTCCACTAGATTCCTTTACACCAATCTTGTTGCAGGATCAGACCACACAGATCAACATTTTAACAATGTATCTGCAAATATATATTGGAGGAAACAATATGTTAAGAAAACTAGAGCAAATTCACCTTAGCTATCATACTCTACAAGTAACTAGAACTACCAAGAAAATACTGTTGCTTTTAAAAAATAAAAAATCCAAACACAAAATGGCTCATTGTTTGTTTTTCTTTTATCAGCCCAAAGATGGATCTTCTATTAACATCTGCCATGTATCATTGTGTAATCCTTCTTTTCTCTTTCCTCCCAAACTACTGCAATTCAGGGTAACCCTAATCTTTAAAGTGGACAAGAATCATAAAACCCTACCTGTGGTGGGAAGGATTAGGGAGTGCATCATGCTTTTTAGTAGATGGGATTTAAACAAGCAATAAGGAGAGGAAAACCTCCCAAGACATAATCCGACAGTCTCAGACTGACCCAATTCTTTCACCATAAGAAGTGATCAAATATCTGCCTCGATTTAAATTGATAGCTAAGTGTACTGTACTGAAGATTTTTCAGGTTCTAGAGTATACTTTAAATTTCTGCCTTCCTTGAAAACACACTTGCAATATGGGAGCAATTTAAGATTCCATTTTGTGTAGTTAAATTATGGAGAACAAAAAAACCAAACATACTGCTAAATTACAGCATTTTTATGACAAGTGGAATGAGTGAATGAAGAGCACCGGGAGGTGTAACTTATGCTGGCTGTCAGTGCCGTGCCATCCAATGTGCCTCTCTAGGGTGTGCTCTTCACTAGGCACTACTGGTGTTAACTTCTAAAAGGGATTTAACCTGTCTTTCCACAACTATAAATGTACAAGTACTGCCAGTTAGATGCTGAACTACCTAATTTGTAGATGGAGTCCAGCTAAGACAATTAAGCAACCTTAATTGTGTCTGCAAATAATGCTGCACAAACATTTGTGCCTATAATTTGGGAGTTCAACCACAACCATTTTTTTTTTTAAACTGGCCTGTTACAAATGGCAACTGGAAAAAATTGAACCAGTTTCTGACGTTGGCCACGTGGGGACATTCTTCCTAGAATTTTATCTTTCAAGGACATTTCTTGCCTGAAAATTGTTTTTGTGACTCCAATCCACATATCTGGACACAGGGTTATTCCACACAGGCTTCCTATAGCCTGGCTCTGCCTAGATTAATTGTCCATTTTGTTTTACAAAGTCTCTCTCAAACAGGTATATCAGCAAAAAGGTACAAACCTCCATATTCTCGATCACTAAATAGTCCCTTTTGACTGATGGAAGCCAAAGTGGATTCTTAACATACAGAGCATTTGGGGCCATAATTAAGGGAAATGAATTGCCTCAATTTTAATTGTAATTGGGTAGTTTCCAACCTCAGATTATTCTTGCCCTATTCCTGAAGGGATGATTTAAAAGATATTCCATAATTTATCCATTTGCTATAACATTTCCAGAACTCTTCCATTACATTGCTTTGACATTATAATCAGTGCAAGTATTTTAAAAATACAACAGAGCAAGAATAAAAACAAATACTGTCCTTTCAAATAAAAAATGATTTAGAAAATTTCATTTTAGCATCAATAATTCAGTCTTCTGACCATGATGGAAATAAAATGTGCATCTGACTTACAAGCTTCTTAAATATGAATCAATACCAAATTTTCCTGACCCCCCTGTGTAAAAGACAAGTAAGTAATTATACGGTGTATCTGCTATTAAACAAGAAATGTTGCTTATGGACACAAACTTTCCTGGTGGACCAACAATATGAAAATGCAATTGAAATAATTATTCAGTCCTGTGATTTAGTATCTATAAAAATTACATCAATTGGTTCATGACCAATTATTTTGCTTTATAAACTAGTTTAGCTCAACTACTAATTTACATTTTTTTAAAAAAAATATCGGCTATGATCTATCCTAACAAATAGATTTACATACCCCCTCCCACTCCATTGGGAGAAACATCAGTTCAGTGTTTCAAAGACATTCCCACTCATCCGGGTTTCATTCCCCCCCCCCCCCCCCATCTTCAAGGCAATGTACCTAACTTAACCACTCTTGCAGGGGAGAAGGGATGGCTGTTGCTCCTTTCAGAGCCCATCAAAACAGTTCTTGAGTCAACCAGAAGAGTTGCAACAAAGCAGATATGCCCTGACCCCTACTGGTCCAGAATTGAAACACTGAGCCTTGGATGTCAATGTCCTCCATGGAACTGGAGTGCATCTTTTATTAAAGTGTGTGTGTGTGTGTGATCTCTGAGCAGAGATTTATTCAAATCCAGTATTTGTTATGCTAATTTATTCACAGCTAGATTGCCTCATCAAGATCTCCCCTCCTTTAGTTCTCCTGCATAACTGCTGCTTACCTGTGTTGATTAAGGCTTTTGGTCGAACTGCAGCTTGAACAGTTAAGGTGTGGAACAGCTTCCAGAGCGAACACGTATAACCTCTCAGCTCTGGTTTGCTCCCCTGACAGCCGACCCACTGAATGTGATTAGTGAGAAATATTCCAGAAATCTGAAAAGAAAATATTCTTTAAAATGTGTCCAGTCTGGGACCACATTACTTGAAAATGACACTTTCCTACTGAACTTATCACGTCTGTTAATTGCTCCTGAACGTATGAGATAGGTTGGGTATGTGTGCACCTCTTTTTGTTGTAAGAAGAAAAGGAGTACTTGTGGCACCTTAGAGACTAACCAATTTATTTGAGCATGAGCTTTCGTGAGCTACAGCTCACTTCATGATGAAGTGAGCTGTAGCTCACGAAAGCTCATGCTCAAATAAATTGGTTAGTCTCTAAGGTGCCACAAGTACTCCTTTTCTTTTTGCGAATACAGACTAACACGGCTGTTCCTCTGAAACCTGTCTTTTTGTTGTGTTTACCTGGTAATTTCAATAAGTCAGTTAAAAGAAACAGACCTTTATGCGCCTTAGGCAGAAAAGGGCCTAAGACAAGCAAGCCCATATATCCAAACATGTACAATGCTGATATTACAGGTTGATGTTTGGACATTCTTTGAGTGGAGTATTATCTTCTGGTTAAATATAAGGTAGGTCTACCTTTACAGTGGTGTGTGGAGTACAGACACTGCATGACCAGTTACAGGAATCAACAGCAGTGTTGATGATGAAACACAACTTAGGTGAGTAGACTAAATGCCTGAACCCTAGGTTCCATGCCTTACATCGCTCTCTCCATTCCCAAGCCATGCCTCCCATGTCTACTCTGCTATTTTTAGTTGTTTCTGCTGCTGGAGCATTTCCCCACCACAGTGAAAGGCTCTGGCCAGGGGGAGGGAGCAGGGAAAGGCTTTGGCTGCTCCCCGTGGCTAGAGCCTTTCCTCACCGTCTCCCCATGCAGGAGTCTTCCACAGCCAAGTGCAGCTATACACTGCAAGGACAAGTGTGGACACAGCCTGCCTTTCACTATGGTGCATAGCTACACACACAGTACTTGTACTCTGCACACCTGTCTACACTGACATAGCCTTAGTTAATGCATTTTCCCAACTAGCACCTTTCCAAAAAAAGGCAGTTTAATGAAATGCTCAGTTCAGATCAGAATGGCCCAAACCTGCAAGATGAAGTTCTCGATTCCCACTGAAATGAAAGGGAACTGAGGGTACCCAGTCCTCCACAGACACTAAGCACATTCCAGGATCAGCCTCCAAATTTATTAGTTAACACTACTGTTAATGACAGTAGATCCTAATTTAAAATAAAGATGATCCATTTGTGAAAGTGTATTAAGTTGAAGCTATTAAATTCACGTTTAAAGGAACGTAGAGTTTAAGTAGTCTGGGCTATTCTCATGAATTATTAAATATTTTTTTGTGTAAGCATTAAAGCAGGACATAATACTTCTCTAAAACACTATAAATTAGTGTGATGGAAAATATAAGACATCCTAATTTGTAAGATTCTTTATAAAAACACTAGACAAAGAATTTTTTTTTATTCTCCTCAACACCTGTTCTAGGTCAGTACATTAATAAGTTTCTGAAAAGTCTTCAGGGTTAATGTAAAATCACAATGGCTAACTTTGCCAGCTTTTAAACTCTGGCCCACAGTGCTGGAAATAACTGGTCCAATTCAAAGTCCTAAAAATCCCATTCATCAGAGAAGGAAATAAAGAGGGAGGTGTGTCTCAACATACAATAAATGTGTAGAACTGATTTGTGCTAAACAGTCTGATCCTGCCCTTCTCTGCCAGAAAGGCGATGTTCATATTTTATGTGTGCGTGTCTTTCTTTTAAAGGATATTGAGCAAACATTTTCATCAGAGACATTGAATTATCTGAGCATGGCAAAGGAAAGATCTGTAACATCAGTAACTGCACATTCATACACAGAGGGCTGTGCTATGCTGCACTGTACTTCATTTCTCTCATTTACGTTCCTTCATAGGGATTTTTTTTCTGGTTAATGAATTCACTTTATTTCCATTTTAACCTTCTTATAACTGCATTATGCCCAAGGGAGGCATCAGTAAGTGGTGTCTTGGATTTATACAGAAACTTATCCTTTACTAATGCTGTATTTTATGCTGGAAACTCATAACAGCTTACCCGCATTTTGTTGTTGACCAGATCTAGGATAGCATCATAAGGGATTTTGTCTAATGGAAGGCTCACCAGCCACTCTTGCAAGGTCTCTAACAACTTCACCACGGGCTGACGGCCAGGAAATAACTAACAGAAATAAGAAAGTACCCATAGATTTTAAAGCACTCATTACAGCGAGACCAATTCATATTTTAAAATGTTTTTACTTCTTATAAGCTTTAATTAAACTTGCCATACTAGATTTTTTGTTACACACAATTGGAATTAATCACTTATTATATTTTTCAGTGAATAACCACTTTGCATTAATTTAACATCTGTACACATACTTTGCTCACCACTGAAATGAAGCTGGTATTTTACAGCACACAGAAAAATACAATACAGCAGTTTAGGACAGAACATGAAAAAAACTGTATCCAAACTGCAGAATACACCTCAAGATGGAATTCTGGCAGGCACTTCCAGAGGACTTTTAATGTTCAGGACCTCATTTTCACACCTCTCCTGAATGATACCAGCCCCTAATACAAATAAATAATAATAATGCCAGAGTATTGGTTCAATACTGACTCCAGTGGAAGAGTGTCACAATGCTTCCTACAAAAGTTAGGCCTTCCATGGAGATTTCCCATCAAACTTTTGACTCAATCTGACCCTACTTTATTTGAGATGTAATGTCACTTCTACAATTGGAAGTGCATTGTAATTTGTAAGTCTACTTTCATGTTATTACAGTTCGGGGAGTTTTAATTTCCAAAAGCTTTTCAGTTCTCTGTTAGGAACTGACCTTTAAAAAAAAAAAATGATGCATAAACTTGTAAACTGCTCTGACTATACTGCATATAGCATCAGAGACCTCAATCACAAGTACAGACACAACACTTTGGATACAAATTTCCTGTCAGTGACACGGATGCAAGACAAGACAAACTCTACCATGCTGCTGTCTTTGATGAGTTGTAAAGAGAGTTGCTTGCCAATGGCGCTTTTCAGTATTATTTATGTGGAATACAGGTCCCAATCCAACTGGTCCAGATCAATTTATATTTGGGTACGTACAATTTGCATACTTAAATTCCTCATGCTTTTTTAACTGCACATAGGAGTCTGTACACAAGAGCTTAGGACAGGAAGCGGAAACACTCTATGTTAAACAGTTCCAAAGGTAGCAGCATTTCAACAGTAGGGGAAGTTGTCCCTCTATCTGCTTTATCAGATATGCAGAGACCATTAGGATGCGAGAAGCTATAGAAATGCAAGTTAATTCTGCAGTAACTGTTCAACTGTTTATAAGATACGCCCTGGCAGATAACTGGTTCCTTCCAACTACTTGAGTCATGGTCCAATGTGTGCTCTCCTCTTCTGACTCTTCCTCCAGCCCAGAGCTCTCTTAATTGGTTTAATGAAAAACTCTTGAGCAGCAACTGCTTTCTTTGCTATCTGCATAACACCTAGCACAAAGAGCCCTAATCTTTGATTTGGGGTTCCTATCCACTACCGTAATAGGAGTAAACTGTACACAACTGAAATACTGATACTGTATTTGATAGACATAACTTTAAGTGCATAGATATAATACCTTCCCAAAGTAATGCTGACCAGTGCAAATGAAAGAAAGGGCTACTGCAAGTTGCACAAATAGCCAAGAAACGAATCCTACAACAATGAAAATCCCTGAGCAGGAGATGGGAGCACAGACTTTAGTGATGTAGCAGCACTGTAAATGCTCTTCTTCAGAAATGAGGCTGGTGTACAAAGTCCTGAAATCGAGGTTCACACCGATGTTTTTATTAATTGATCACAAAATATTTAGTTTAAAAAGGAGTTAAGTTCTTAAAAACAAAACCTCAAATAAACTAAATTATGGCATCAATGCAGTATGCTACATTTTATGAAGTCCTTTGGTGTAAAGAACCACACAGGAAAGAAATCAGAATTGTGACTAAAATGTGAAATATCAGAAGAGAAACGTTTTTAAGAAAGTGTTAAAAAAATACAAAAATAAAAAACCTTTCTGCTGCCTAGAAGGGAGCATTCCCCATTTATTCACTAATAGCCAGGAAAATAAATTACATTAGCTGGCCAGGATCCATCAGGAAGAAAAGAGGCTGTTTTAGGGATAATATGATGGACAGATTAGCACTACACTTTCTTAAAGGAAATGAGGCCAGCTAGAGATTTCTGACCTCTGACTGTCATAGGGGGTAAGAACCTGTCTGACTGATTTTCACATAATGCCAGATACTTGGAAATGTTATATAAATCTTATTGTCCCTCTAAACAGCCACTGATTTGCTTTGTTTACAAACAAACAAATACAATCTGTTAATTACTTGATATTGAAATATGGAGAGACACTGCAGCTCATGTTTAACTGGGGGTCACTTTTAACTGTTAAAACATTAGAATTTTTCTAAATCACATTTTCTTCATGTCAGACTCACTTTAAAAATGTCTAAACTTTAGGACAAGTAAGTCCAAAGCAAAAGCACCAACTAAACTCCCATCATTGTCACAGTATCTGAGCACCTCAAACATTAAAGGGTTTATCCTCACAACACCCATGAGGTGACACTGTTTAGAGTCTTTGAAATATGGTGCTCATCAGCTATGTTCAAAACTCTTGATTAAAGTCAGCTGTATCGTTAGAAGTCCAACCTAATTTTCTAAACACTGTATGTGGTCACATAGGCACAACAATTTTAAAGTTACTTTAACAAAGTCCAAGAATCCAGAGTGAGTGTGTGTGTGTGTTTGGGGGGGGGGGAATAATCTATGCTCAGTTACGATTACTACCTATCCAGAAAAATCTGAGCAACCATCCCAATTTTCACAGGTCTGGGACAACCAGAATCCTTATTTCATTCTGAGCCATGCAATGCGACAAAGTGCATTTTAATCCTTCAGGTTTATCTACAGAAGCATAACAGAATTTCTATATCTAAGATACTGTAGCAACCAAAACATGTACATTTTTAAGGGCACTCTGAAAGACATTTTCAGAAACATAAAATATTCTGTCAAATAATAAATTTTACATTATATTTGTAAGACTCAAGTGAATGTAATCAAAGACTAGAAGTGTATACCTTGGAAATGACTGTAACAAAATCCTTGAACGTCTTTAGCTCAGCTCCCTCAAGCGTCTTGTGAGTGGCAAGCTCTACCCTGAGTAGGTAATGCAATCCTGATTCAAGGTCAGCCATGTACAGCTTAGCTCTAAAACACACACACATATATATAATGTTAAAAATTGAGGCAGCTTTCTTTCACTCATTTTCTCACCAGTCATTATGGTAAAACTGATATGTAGTGGGCACTATTCAAACCTCATAATCTGCAATTCCACAGTGATTGCAGTAATTCCTATTCCAAGGGCAGGAATATACAGTGCAGTACCTAGTACCATGAATGTCAAGTTTAATGGCTTCCACAGTACTCTAATTTTAGAACAGCAATTTTATGCCACTAGTTCAGAGAATAGACAAATGAAGCACAACTGCATAAAAAGTTATCTTGTGTTTGAGTAAGAACTTTCTACCTCCCAATTTCTCCCTCTAGAGAAATCATAACCCTGAGATTCTATCAGCAAGCAAATTGCTGGTGTCACAGCTTGTGACTTCTCTACACAGTTAAATATAAAGTAGAGAACAACAGGCTGTGAGGGGACAAGCCTTTTGTTTAACAGAAGTATCTTTGATGAGGAACAATGCCAAGGAAACTGACCACAACAAAAATGAAAATAACCCCATATTAAGAAAGATGGAATTTAGAAATACTCCCCAAATGCAGCAGTCCCACTAGAGAGACCTTGTGCACCATAGCGTATTTAAGAGTCAGTCAATTACAGAAGGTCTTGTGACAGTCAGTCACCCACTGATGGCTATGGATAAAGCAGACATTTGAGGTGAATGAGACCTCAGCACCTTCCTTCCTCAGAGTAGCAACAATCATGGAAAATATTTCTATATTTACACCACCACCACCCACAGACAAGCAATTGAACAAAATATAAACAACTTAAGAGTTTGTATCCTTCAGTGCTTTTCGATTACAAGCCCAAGTTAGTACAAAATACAGCAACACAGCAGAACAAACAGAATTGGATACAGACCCGACAGCCTAATGTTTCAAAAAATTCCTGAGGATCCTTATGTCTTATAACCCACATGATTAAACAGTAGATTTAAGAGAGCTGATCAAATCAGAAAACCAGCTTATTCTGACAACAATGGTTGCATAACGATAACAGAACACCTAAAAACACATGAAAAGCTGCAGTGGAGAACTGGGAAACTTCCGATTTATTTTTATGAAAAGAAGTGGGAGACTCAGTTTCCCCTCTCCCTTTGTATTGTTCTGCCATGTGTGTAGGGGTTAATTTCTTTTTTGAGACAAAGGAGTGACTGTGTGGAAGTCACCTAAGCATGAATGAATTATCAGGAACTAAAATTACTGGGGAATAATTAATGTAAATACCTAGGCAGGTAAACAAGTCTGGAAAGGCACCACACATGAGGAAAATGAACTACCCTGCTTTGAACTGGTTGAAAGAGGTTATCAAACAAAGAACTGCCAAGCCTGCTACAGGAGGGAGGTCACTCTCACTGGACTCAAGAACTGACAAAAGGCTATGACAGGAAGGACACAGCCCGCAGAAAAAGTTTGAAATCTACCAGCATCTCCATGTTGAAGACGGGTGATACGTGGTAAGGGAGGCAGGCATATAAGCTGTTTATTGTTTTCAAGATATGTTTTCTCTATAAGGCTTTTGGTTCCAAATAAATACTTTGATTTATGAAGGCTGGCTGGACATTGATTAACCCTGTCACAGCCCCTGAGAGAGAGCAAGATGTCAGGTGCTGAACTAAACTCAGACCTGCTAAGGTGATCGAAGTGAATTGCAGGAGGGATTTTAGCCTAAATCCCCTGTCTGGAAGGGGAGGAATGTTGGCTCCTGCAAGAAAGGGGATGGCTAGAGACCCAAGTCGCATCCCCTCATGGAGGCCATTAAGAGGTTAGAGATACAGGTATCTCAGGAACTGTGACAGCTGCATTCTGAATGATACAGACTACAGACATATTGTGAGTGGCCAAGTGTCACCTCTTTAGTAAACAATGTATTCACTTAATAACAGTTATAAAAAGTTTATTAGTAGGTCTGCTGACTTGTCAGTATTAAATCATCAAGCACACAAACAATCTAGCTGGGAGATACTTATATAGTGATCTTTTATAAAAAATTGTATTGTACAAGCACCAAGATTGATAGAATCATTCACATTAATAAGATACTCATTAGCTACAAAAATCAGTTATCAAAACACAATATTCTATATAAACTGTTAAAAGAAAGTAACAGCCATCTGTCAAAAAACAAAACAAACAGGGCTGACACTTTAATAGTAACCATAACAAAGAATGAAAATAAGTACAAAATGGAAGCACTCAGTCCTACATCTTTTCCAGCTAAAGATGCTGAAGGATTATCTCACTGCAAAGCTCTTGTATCCTTCTCTCAAACACTCAGAGGGTGAACATAAACCTAAGTGGATTTGGTCTGATAAACATCTTTTCTGGTGACTTTAGGGTTCTCTAATGTATATGCATTTACCTAACACTTTCTAGTGGTGTCTTGACTCACCATTATACAAACAAATACTGGGTTCGCTGTTTTCTGTAGGTTTGCCAAAAACTGATTGTTAAAATTTTTAATACTGATTTTATTTTTCTCTGGGATATTGATTTACAAGCTAAAGTTTTCCAATAAAAAATAAACTAGTGAACCCTACATTTCAGATACTAGTTTGATCCTCAATCCTGCTCACACTGACACCAATGGAAGCAGAACTGAGCTCTGGATTTTTTTTTTTTTTTTTTTAAAGTAAAACATGCGTTTAAAATAAAAATGGTCTCTAACAGAACTTTCTTCCAGAGAAATGCAGACATTTGCTCCAAACGCATATTGAAAATATTGCTTGAAGCTTCTTTAAAATCCCTAAAACATCAGTCATAATTGCAAGAAAGGTACATTCACTAACTAGAGTATTACATCTTTGCTGCTAGGGCTGAATTAATTTACCATTGTATCTAGTATATTGCGAAAAGGATCCTGCTGAAGAAACAAACGAAAGCAATGCTGTACAACGTGATCCGTAAGACATTTCAGTGCTTGGATCCCTTTAATATTCACACGCAATCCCTTTGTTCTGCTCAGCAAGTCAGCGTGTGGTAGTTCAGCTATTCAATTCCGGGCGTATCCTTTGAGTAGTTATGGAATCAAATAAAGCTTTCAGCTACAGTAAGATGTTAAAATAAATTATTTTATAGCTTCCCACTTGGCAATAACAACTGTGGATTTTAACTACCAACCATTAAACTGAAGCTCAACAGCATCACTTACTTATCAAATTCCTTCCATGCCTTGATTTCTGTGCCCTCCTGTTTATTTTGCTTTTTTGGTAGAGGAAGTTGTGAAACAAGTTTTCTTCTCACACCAGGCAGTGATTTTAAATAGGAAGAAAAGAAAGACCGAAGAGGCTTCAAACTGCATATGAAAGGACAGTGTAAGGGTTAAAAATCAGCTCAAGCTAAATGATTGACAGGAACAGTTTAATATATCTGTGAAATACGAGATTTGGTTTTCTTTACTCTTTGTTTTACAAGTTTGGTAAAAGGCAGCAAGTTTGCAAATTTTAGAACCAGCAGCAAAAATAATTAGGACCAGTGACTTGCAATACCATTCAAACTAACAGCAACATCCCATTTTCATAAAGACTTCAGGTCATATTTGTACACCTTATTTGTTCACTTTCGCTGAATCCAACCGGTGATTTGACCGAGTAGGATGTGTGCGATTTGGTACTTAATATTTTTATTTCAGATTTGTCCCAAACCATACATATTCCCCTCAAAGGCATCACAGTAATGAGTCAGTGATACTGACTGGTGGCCGTGGAAGACATGACTAATACAGAGTCTCTTCCCAAAACCTCAATGATCTCCTGTTTATCAACATCACTAGACTATCAGCATGTCACTAGCTACTGCTCAACAGCTTATATTTTCTGAACGCTTCGCACTGACACCATCAGCCTGGAATTTCTATTTCATAGATGGAGTATTCTTCTTTAGCACTCATTTTACAAGCAAGTTTGTGAGCAGTCTAAACTCACCACTGCAGTGAAGTTATAACTAAGCACTACAGCATTTTGTTTTTTCTCCAAGATGAGGGAGAAATCTATTTTTTGTTCTCTTAGTCCATTTCAGTGCATTGTAAACTCCTGCAGAGTCAGCTGTATAAGTATAAGATTATTAAATATGAACAGGATATTTTTCATACGCAATGGAATAGCTGTCTCAACAAGGTCTGAGATGTTCAGACTCTTCATATTTGAAGAGACTGACTATTAAACGTCAATCAATAAAATGTACTGATCACATATTGGGATACATTGCCTTTATTTAAATACACAAATAAAACCTGGTTATCAAATACATTAAGTTGTATGCAAGGAAACTAAGGCAACGGTTTTAAAGCTTAACTGAACTCCTCAAAGTCCTGCAAGTATCCCTTACAGATCTATAGTACTTACATGTTAATTAATCCATGGGACCCATTTGGATAGATCAGATAACATGAAGGGATTGAGGTAATACCAAGTTTCTCTAGAAAAGCCTTATCAGAATTCAGCACTCTCTTTACCATAATGTTTTCATACTGAATCAAGTCTAAAATCACCTGGGTGATGAGAAGACAACACAAGAGTTACACACTGTTCAAATAATATCCAATTCTTGTAAGAAAGGACAAGTATATTATAGGGAGTGCACCATACTTTTAAGTAAACGAAGCTGATGATAAAACCACCTTACTATTCACCAAGTACGTATATTTATTAGGGCTGTCAATTAATTGCAATTAGCTCATGCGATTAACTCAAAAAATTAATCACGATTACAAAAATTAATTGTGATTAATCTCAGTTAAACAATAGCATATCAATTGATATTTATTAAATATTTTGGATGTTTTTCTACATTTTCAAATATATTTATTTAAATTACAGCACAGAATACAAAGTGTACTGGCTCCCTATATTTTATTATTTTTGATTACAAATATTTGCACTCTAAAAATGATAAACGAAAGAAATAGTATTTTTCAAACTCACCTCATAAAAGTACGGTAGTGTGATCTCTTTATTGTGAAAGTGCAATTTATAAATTTAGAAATTTGTTACATAAACTGCACTTGAAAACAAAACAACGTAAAACTTTAGAGCCTGTAAATTCACTCAGTCCTACTTCTTGTTCAGCCAATCTCCAAGACAAACAAGTTTGTTTACATTTACGTGACATTATGTTGCCCGCTTCTTACTTACAATGTCACTTGAAGTGAGAACAGGCGTTCACATGGCACTTTTGTAGACAGCACTGCAAGGTATTTACGTGCCAGATATGCTAAACATTCATATGCCCCTTCATGTTTCAGCCACCATTTCAGAGGACATGCTTCCATGCTGATGACACTGGTCAGAAAAATAATGCGTTAATTAAATTTGTGACTGAACTCCTTGGGGGAGAATTGTATGTCTCCTGCTCTGTTTTACCAACATTTTGCCATATATTTCGCATTATATGACCCAGCACACGTTGTTTGTTTTAAGAACACTTTCACTGCAGATATGACAAAATGCAAAGAAGGTACCAATGTGAGATTTCTAGAGATAGCTACAGTACTCGACCCAAGATTTAAGAATCTGAAGTGTCTTCCAAAATCTGAGAGGGACGAGGTGTGAAGAATGCTTTCAGAAGAGTTAAAAAAGCAACACTCTGATGCGGAAACTACAGAACCCGAACTACCAAAAAAGAAAATCAACTTTCTGCTGGTGGCAACTGACTCAAATGATGAAAATGAACATGCGTCGGTCCATACTGCTTTGGATCGTTATCGAGCAGAACCCGTCATCAGCATGGATGCATATCCTCTGAAACGGTGGTTAAAGCATGAAGAGACATATGAATCTTTAGTGCATCTGGCACATAAATATTTTGCGACGCCAGCTACAACAGTGCCATACAAACATCTGTACTCACTTTCAGATGACATTGTAAACAAGAAGCAGGCAGCAGTATCTCCCGTAAATGTAAACAAACTTGTTTGTCTGAGCAATTGGCTGAATGTGAAGTAGGACTGAGTGGACTTGTAGGCTCTAAAGTTTTACATTGTTTTGGTTTTGAATGCAGTTTTTTTGTACATAATTCTACATTTGTAAGTTCAACTACAGTACTTGTAATGGGGGAACTGAAAAATACTATTTCTTTTGTTTTTTACAGTGCAAATATTTGTAATAAAAATAAATATTAAGTGAACACTGTACACTTTGTATTCTCTGTTGTAACTGAAATCAATATATTTGAAAATGTAGAAGACACCCAAAATATTTAAATAAATGGTATTCTATTATTGTTTCATCATGTAATTAATTTTTTTAATCTCTCAACAGCCCTAGTATTTATTAGTATTCCAACATGGACACTAACAATTTCTGTTCAACAGAAATTTTACTTCACTGGGGGAAACTATTTTTTCTTGTCTTCTGAGCTGTAGGATTTTTCCTTAGCCCATCCTGACTTCCCCCCCCTCAAGTCTCACATGTCTAAAGACCACATATGAGAGAGAGACAGAGACAGACAGATGAAATGTCCTGGAGAAGCCTCCAAACACAGATAAGATGATATCTGTTACACACCCACTGGTCTGTGATGACATGTTACATACATACAAGGATTTTAAAGCCAATATTTCAGGCACTGGCTTCCATTTTTCTGAGCTCAAATAACTCCGGTTTTGCCACTAGCCAGCTCCTTGTCTAATGTAATCAGAATGGTCAAACACACACTGCATGTTTCTAAACAGATTATGCCTAGTAATCATGCAATTTGTTTTCGTTACTTATCCTAGATTTTGGCAGTAGTAGAAAACTAACAAAAGTTGTGTAGGCTAACCGTAGCTCTTTAGATTGTGAAATGGGGCCAAACCAAACTTCATATGAAAATAATTTTCCACTTCCTCATACCTCAGTTCAAGAGGCTGAAAATACTTACTATCCAGTCTACACTAGAATGATGGCACAACATTTTGTCAGTGTCCTTAAGTTTCACATTTAATTAGGCAATGTGGCACATAAAACTACCCATTCACGTAGAGAAAGATTTATATGCAGGAGTAGACAGTCATCTCCTTGAGGCAAGAACTAAGTTGTATAGACAAGCCATTTACAATGCACACTTTGCTTCTCTACAAAAGAAAAAGGACACTAAACTTTCTAAACTACTACATGCTACAAGGGGCCACAGCAATGGTTCCCTCAACCCACCCAGCAATATTGTTAACCTATCCAACTATACTCTCAGCCCAGCAGAAGCAGCTGTCTTATCTCGGGGCCTCTCTTTCTGCCCCTCCACCCCCACGAACATGATACAGTTCTGTGGTGACCTAGAATCCTATTTTCGACGTCTCCAACTCAAGGAATATTTCCAGAATACCTCTGAACAACATACTAATCCACAGAGGCCTCCCTACCAACATTACAAAAAGAAGGATTCTAGTGGACTCCTCCTGAAGGTCGAAACAGCAGACTGGACTTCTACATAGACTGCTTCCGCCGACGTGCACGGGCTGAAATTGTGGAAAAGCAGCATCACTTGCCCCATAACCTCAGCCGTGCAGAACACAATGCCATCCACAGCCTCAGAAACAACTCTGACATCATAATCAAAAAGGCTGACAAAGGAGGTGCTGTTGTCATCATGAATAGGTCGGAATATGAACAAGAGGCTGCTCAGCAGCTCTCCAACACCACTTTCTACAAGCCATTACCCTATGATCCCACAGAGTTACCAAAAGCAACTACAGCATTTGCTCAAGAAACTTCCTGAAAAAGCACAAGATCAAATCCGCACAGACACACCCCTGGAACCCCGACCTGAGATATTCTATCTACTACCCAAGATCCATAAACCTGGAAATCCTGGACGCCCCATCATCTCAGGCATTGGCACCCTGACAGCAGGATTGTCTGGCTATGTAGACTCCCTCCTCAGGCCCTACGCTACCAGCACTCCCAGCTACCTTCGAGACACCACTGACTTCCTGAGGAAACTTCAATCCATCGGTGATCTTCCTGATAACACCATCTTGGCCACTATGGATGTAGAAGCCCTCTACACCAACATTCCACACAAAGATGGACTACAAGCCGTCAAGAACACTATCCCCGATAATGTCACGGCTAACCTGGTGGCTGAACTTTGTGACTTTGTCCTTACCCATAACTATTTTACATTTGGGGACAATGTACACCTTCAGATCAGCGGCACTGCTATGGGTACCCGCATGGCCCCACACTATGCCAACATTTTTATGGCTGACTTAGAACACCGCTTCCTCAGCTCTCGTCCCCTAACGCCCCTACTCTACTTGCGCTATATTGATGACATCTTCATCATCTGGACCCATGGAAAAGAAGCCCTTGAGGAATTCCACCATGATTTCAACAATTTCCATCCCACCATCAACCTCAGCCTGGTCCAGTCCACACAAGAGATCCACTTCCTGGACACTACAGTGCTAATAAACAATGGTCACATAAACACCACCCTATACCGGAAACCTACTGACCGCTATGCCTACCTACATGCCTCCAGCTTTCTCCCTGACCATACCACACGATCCATCGTCTACAGCCAAGCTCTGCGATACAACCGCATTTGCTCCAACCCCTCAGACAGAGACAAACACCTACAAGATCTCCATCAAGCATTCTTACAACTACAATACCCACCTGCGGAAGTGAAGAAACAGATTGATAGAGCCAGAAGAGTTCCCAGAAGTCACCTCCTACAGGACAGGCCTAACAAAGAAAATAACAGAACACCACTAGCCGTCACCTTCAGCCCCCAACTAAAACCCCTCCAACGCATTATTAAAGATCTACAACCTATCCTGAAGGATGACCCAACACTCTCACAAATCTTGGGAGACAGGCCAGTCCTTGCCTACAGACAGCCCCCCAACCTGAAGCACACACTCACCAACAACCACATACCACACAACAGAACCACTAACCCAGGAACCTATCCTTGCAACAAAGCCCGTTGCCAACTGTGCCCACATATCTATTCAGGGGACACCATCACAGGGCCTAGTAACATCAGCCACACTATCAGAGGCTCGTTCACCTGCACATCCACCAATGTGATATATGCCATCATGTGCCAGCAATGCCCCTCTGCCATGTACATTGGTCAAACTGGACAGTCTCTATGTAAAAGAATAAATGGACACAAATCAGATGTCAAGAATTATAACATTCATAAACCAGTCGGAGAACACTTCAATCTCTCTGGCCACGCAATCACAGACATGAAGGTCACTATCTTACAACAAAAAAACTTCAAATCCAGACTCCAGCGAGAAACTGCTGAATTGGAATTCATTTGCAAATTGGATACTATTAATTTAGGCTTAAATAGAGACTGGGAGTGGCTAAGTCATTATGCAAGGTAGCCTATTTCCCCTTGTTTTTTTCTACCCCCCCCGCGCCCCTCTGGTTAAACTTGGATTTATGCTGGAAATGGCCCACCTTGATTATCATGCACATTGTAGGGAGAGTGGTCCCTTTGGATGAGCTATTACCAGCAGGAGAGTGAGTTTGTGTGTGTGTGGTTTTTTTGAAAAAAAAAAAAAGGGGTGGGGGGTGGTGAGAAAACCTGTATTTGTGCTGGAAATGGCCCACCTTGATTTTCATACACATTTTAAAGAGAGTGGTCACTTTGGATGGGCTATTACCAGCAGGAGAGTGAGTTTGTGTGTGGGGGGGCGGAGGGTGAGAAAACCTGGATTTGTGCTGGAAATGGCCCAACTTGATGATCACTTTAGATAAGCTATTACCAGCAGGAGAGTGGGGTGAGAGGAGGTATTGTTTCATGGTCTCTGTGTATATAATGTCTTCTGCAGTTTCCACAGTATGCATCCGATGAAGTGAGCTGTAGCTCACGAAAGCTTATGCTCAAATAAATTGGTTAGTCTCTAAGGTGCCACAAGTACTTCTTTTCTTTTTAAGTTGTATAGCACACTGCTAGCACTGGCATTATCTACATCCCTCCCACCAAGCAGCTTGTTTCAGTCTGGCATTTTATTGGCCCTTTTCTGCTGCAAAAGACCCTGCTGTGTCTTTACTTAGCCTTCCTTTGGATGTGCCAAGTACCCCAGAGGGGTTCTTACCTCACTTACCTGCTACAATGACATATTTAATTGCTTCACTGATTGATATCCACACACAACAATCTGTTATAAGATTTAAATGGGCAATTAGGCCCTGACTCCAAGAAACATTAGCAGCTTGGGCCAATTTGAGACATTCAATAAAAACATAGCCTATTTCCACATTATAACAACATACAGGATATGCAATACCCTAAATGTAGTATCATACAATTCCTGCAGAGTCTACTACACCTCAGCACAAACTGAGCTAAGATCATCATCGAAGAGTTTTACTACAATATTCTGTATTGTCTTGGTTTTGGTGGCTTTTCTACTTTAATTAGTGTGATGTATGGACCACACAGACACACCTAGTATATCATACAGATTAAAGTAAAATAACTATGTTGCAAAAGCAGACCAACAGGAACAAACTTTATGAATGGTTCTCTAATAGTGATAAAGCAATGCCATTCATGATCTGAAATATTTTTCCTGTGATGATGTGAGGTTTGACAGTCAGAAGTATTTTGCTAATATTGAGGAGGATAAACTAAACTTCTACTAAGGAATGAAAGGAATCCAAATAGTCAGAAAAGTAACACTGCATTTCTTTAAAAAATGCACTCCTCTCTGTGACTAAACTAAAAGCCAATGCCTTATGGCATCACGTGGCTTAGTCATATTCTAAATGCATATGATCTGGCTTTCACTACTTATGTGCCAATCCTGCAAGCAGTCGCACCTTTATTCACATGCATAGTTCCACTGACTGAATAAAATATAACCCCAATTGTAATATTCATGATTTAAATATTGGATTAAATTCACAAGTCACACATTACCTCTCGCCCAACATAGGAGTTACTACTTTCAACCACAATGGCAGTATAATGATGGCTAGTCTTGTCAAAAAGAGAAGCAATCTCACTGGACCTTTTAAGAAAAGAAAAGCTATTTAGTACATGAAGAATTCAATGTTCTCATTGCCCACAACATGAACTTACTCTAAGTATTTGTTAAACAGAAATACAAAAACATTCTTTATCCTTGGAAATCGTCTTGACATTTTATTTGAGTAGCATACTACGTGTACAATATTTTGTGTTATTTCAAACAAGGTTCTTACGGAACTGGATCTAAGGGAGGGCAAGCAGGTGGTCTTGATTCTTGAGAATGGTTCTGTAGAAAATCAATCATCATCTGACGAACAGTTTGGAGCTCGCGATCTGACCCTGCTAAAAACAGATAAAGAACTATTCAGAAGACAGAAAAGTATCACTAAGTTCAGGTTGTCTCATTCTCAGTTTTGAGGGGTTTTTTACTTAAAAAGCTAGGTGACTATGTTTGTTTTAGGAAGGGGTAAAAGTACTTTTATTTGCAAGATTAAGTTTGCAGACTTTTTGTAAAAGTTGTTTTCCCCAAGAGCTTTAAAAAAAACCAAAAAACTCAAAACAGCTGATCTGCCTCTCATCAGGGTTTTCAACACACTATCATATTGCTTCATACAGGTCTACACTCACACATAAACAACGCTTATAGTGGCAGGAGTTCAAGCAGCTTTTTTGCAATGGAGATGTTCAGTGACCAAATGAACGCTTTTTGTTTGCATGCTGGCTAACAGCAAGCATTGAAAATTTGAGCCACTGGTGTAACGCTCTTAACAAATGGCCCAGGTAAGGTAACAACCAGCCACAAAGGGAAATTAATAATAATAAAGGGTTTTTTAATTTAACTTAAGCTTTGAAATCGGGGGGAGGGGGGGAGGGAGGAGAGAGCCTAAAAACAGATCTTTTTACTTAAACTTTTTTGTCAACAAAAGCAACCCCCTCCCAAACGCTAAAAAAAGCGGGTACAATTGCAATAATATTCTACCAGAAGGGTTAATGGTGCAGGTGGTCTGTTTTTTGACCTCTAGCCTTTTATATGTTAGTCCAATCGAAAAGATGTGTTACTTTAGTCTGTAGCCAGACCACTTCAAGGTGTGACCATATCAGAGCCATAAATGATCAAGTCCAATGTCGTTTTATATTTAAATGAAGGACTTCTAATAAATTCAGGTGTTGGAGAAAGTAGTGCTGGTAAATCAGAAGGTGGCAATCTTCCATTGAAGTCAGAGCCAAGCGAGTGCTTCAATAGGGACACCATGCTGCTGAGAAGCGTGTGGTTTTTTTTTTACATGAGATTTAAAATGAAGGATCTGCCCACTTGCAACAATTAAATACTACAACGTATTTTAAAAGCACAGGGGTGTTAACTCTACCGTCCTGGACAAATGTAAACTCTAGCAATTACATTCTGCCATCTAAAATTTTCCCTGCAGTTTCATTTTCAAAGGGTATTTTTAACCTTCTATTCTAAATAGTTGCTTACTGTGCTGTTAAAGAGCCTAGGGATGTCTGAATTTTATTGATGGGTAAAGAAATCTTGTTTATTATAGAATGTACTCTGGGATAGTAGGATAAATGCTTTTGAGATAGGTTAGAGTGGGGTTTTCTTACCTTTGTAATTTTCCCCAGTTGTGAACTGCTTTGTAAATGCTTTGAAGTACTGTGGGGTGAAAAAAAAACATTCCTTTGAAGACAACTCATGGCTCAAGGGGAAAAAGTACTTCAGGAAAGCTCAGTGCAGAGGCAGAACACAATTTTCATGAGTTCTTGCTTTTTACAGTTTTAATTCATCACATGTTGTTACTTAGCTTACAGACAAGCAGAATATACAACTGAAATTTTACTCTTGCCTGGTAAATTCCAAGGGCTGATCCTCAGCTGGTGTGGGTATAATGATTGCTGATTTACACCAGCTGTGGATCTTGCCCACTGATCCTTAAACAATCAAACTCTTATCTCACTAGTTTGTTAAATTTATAGAAATTTTTGACTTATAAAATTCTGTATAGATTTTCCTCAGAAAAAACAATTTTCAGAGGCATTCTGAAAAAATTCAACTGAAGTCTCCAACTTCATAGACAAGGTTAGGATTGAGAGGTTGACTCATACTGATGATTTACTAAGCAAAACTTAACTGATGGATATACTCGATAAATTGGACAACTGGTCTGAAATCAACACAATGCAAGCCAATAAAGACAACTGCAAAGTTACACAGGAAAAATTAAATGCAAAAATATAAAATGGGGAATAACTGGCTAGGCAGTAGTACTTCTGAGAAGGAGCTGTGGGTTACAGTGGATCACAAACTGAATAGGAGCCAACGCTATAGTGCAGTTGCTAATACCTGGGGTGTATTATTAGGGGTGTCACATGTAAGACACAGGATGTGATTGTCCTGATCTACTCGGCACTTGTGTTGCCTGAGCTGTGTCCGGATTTGGGCCCCACATTTTAAGGGAACAGTCCAGAGCAACAAAATATGATAAAGAAGTTTAGAAAACCTGACCTATGAGGAAGTGTTAAAAAAACAGGCATGTTCTGAAAAGAAGATGAACGGAGGACATGGTAAATCTTCAAATATGCTAAGGGCTATTATAATTAAATAAATACTGGTTCTGTGGATGAAGGGAAAGCAGTGGATGTATTGTTTCTTGACTTTAGCAAAGCTTTTGACACGGTCTCCCACAGTATTCTTGTCAGCAAGTTAAGGAAGTATGGGCTGGATGAATGCACTATAAGGTGGGTAGAAAGCTGGCTAGATTGTCGGGCTCAACGGGTAGTGATCAATGGCTCCATGTCTAGTTGGCAGCCGGTATCAAGTGGAGTGCCCCAAGGGTCGGTCCTGGGGCCGGTTTTGTTCAATATCTTCATAAATGATCTGGAGGATGGTGTGGATTGCACTCTCAGCAAATTTGCGGATGATACTAAACTGGGAGGAGTGGTAGATACGCTGGAGGGGAGGGATAGGATACAGAAGGACCTAGACAAATTGGAGGATTGGGCCAAAAGAAATCTGATGAGGTTCAATAAAGATAAGTGCAGGGTCCTGCACTTAGGATGGAAGAATCCAATGCACCGCTACAGACTAGGGACCGAATGGCTAGGCAGCAGTTCTGCGGAAAAGGACCTAGGGGTGACAGTGGACGAGAAGCTGGATATGAGTCAGCAGTGTGCCCTTGTTGCCAAGAAGGCCAATGGCATTTTGGGATGTATAAGTAGGGGCATAGCGAGCAGATCGAGGGATGTGATCGTTCCCCTCTATTCGACATTGGTGAGGCCTCATCTGGAGTACTGTGTCCAGTTTTGGGCCCCACACTACAAGAAGGATGTGGATAAATTGGAGAGAGTCCAGCGAAGGGCAACAAAAATGATTAGGGGTCTAGAACACATGACTTATGAGGAGAGGCTGAGGGAGCTGGGATTGTTTAGCCTGCAGAAGAGAAGAATGAGGGGGGATTTGACAGCTGCTTTTCAGCTACCTGAAAGGGGGTTCCAAAGAGGATGGATCTAGACTGTTCTCAGTGGTAGAAGAGGACAGAACGAGGAGTAATGGTCTCAAGTTGCAGTGGGGGAGGTTTAGATTGGATATTAGGAAAAACTTTTTCACTAAGAGGGTGGTGAAACACTGGAATGCGTTACCTAGGGAGGTGGTAGAATCTCCTTCCTTAAGAGGTTTTTAAGGTCAGGCTTGACAAAGCCCTGGCTGGGATGATTTAACTGGGAATTGGTCCTGTTTCGAGCAGGGGGTTGGACTAGATGACCTTCAGGGGTCCCTTCCAACCCTGATATTCTATGATTCTATGAAATAGGATAGTGAGCAATTGTTCTTCATGTCCCCTGAAGGTGGGACAAGAAGCAATCAATCTGCAGCACGGGGTTTACACTGGGTATTAGGATAAACTTTCTAACTATAAAGATAAGTAAAGTACTGGAATAGGTTACCAAGGGAGGTTGTGGAATCCCCTTCACCGGAGGTTTTGTTGGACAAACACCTGTCAGGGATGGTCTAGGTTTACTTGGTCCTGACTCAGCATGCGGGGCTGAACCAAATGACCTCTTGAGGTCCCTTCCAGCCCTGCAATTCTATGATTCTGTGCTAAAGGATACTGCTCACACCCTAAACAGTCTTACCTCCCTCTTGTGGTTAAAACAAAATACATAATGCAACGTAACTTCTACCTATTTTAAAAAACAAAACATACTGTGCTTTGGGAAGAAACGAGTCACGTTTTGGCCTCACAACATGATAGAAGAAAAAAAATCACTATTGTTTTTCCCCAACATCAGAAGAACAAACACCTCTCTTCTCACACTACAAACTTTTTATTGAGATTCTCCTTGTCCCCCATTTTATTTTCACATGGGGTAAATAATGATAATGATGATTACACACAACAGGGAAGATTGGTAGTATGGCAAATACAGAAGTTCATTTTCATCCTTAGATGCAAAATTTCCATATTAAACACGGTTCCTCATTCTCTTGGCAAACAGTAGAAAGTATTTTTAAATTCAATTTAAGTAAACTGTGAAGTAAAAAATTAAGAATGATATGAGGCTAGTGAAGGATTGATTCAAAGATTACAACACTAACACACAGTCCCTCATGAAATCAGCTACTTGATCCCATGTTTGTCCCTGATGTATCAGTTTTAAACTACTGGATTTACCCTCATGTCACTAACTGAGACAAAATGTACAACTCTATTAATGTTGTTTACGATATATGGATCTTTACATGTTTAACAGCTAACACATAGATTGCATCCAGATACCTTAGTGATGGGAGACAAAAATACTTTAAAAGAATATATTGCTTTCTGGTGCCATGTCTCTTATGTTCGAAAAATTCTAATTCAGTGTTTAGGACAATCATAAACCCAGCTGATTCAGATAATTGCATCATCTATTCCATTCTATTGATTAACAGAGCCTGAAAGCATCTTTTATTATAATCACAAGAATCTTTGCAGAAGAAAAAGAAAGCACCCAGATCCAAGAACAAGTACACAATATTCTGGGTAAGTAAGTTTACTCTGTTTTTAACTACAGGCAGCAGGTTCAACAGTTGTAGTTTGGAACATGGAATAATAGAAACCGTTTGAGATTTAAAGCAAGTATTTTTTTTAAAAATGGAATGACCACCATTTGCCTGATGCTGTATATCGTGCTACTTACCCTAAAAGTTGGATAGTAGAGAATACCATATTCTTTACAGGTCTCATAGTTCTCTTCCTCCCCGCAATCCAGCACACCAATCCTGATGGCAGGTTCCCAGTCTGAAAATAAATAAAAAACACATTTACTTTTTGGTGCAGCGGTGACCAGGCATCCTATCTTAGGTCATGCTCTGGCTCCCATGGAAGTCAATGGCAAAACTCTCACCGACTTCAATGGGGTAAGATCAAGTTGTAGGTCTACCCACATCTGTCCTGCATTTGCACCCTCAACAATAATTTGGCTGATTAGTTTTGAAAACTAACTAAAGATGACATCTACCACAATGGAGAGAAGTATTTTCAACAAATCTAAAGAAAAAGAAATCCAAAGCAAACAATTAGACTTATCTCTAAGGCTGCTGGCATTACTCAGTTCAAGTGGATGAAACAGGGCCCAACCCAACACTAACAAATGGTAGGTACTGTATTCTCTGGTTTATCCAATCAGCTAAGCTCAGTACTCAGTTAATTGTATTCTTCATGTCAGTTTTCAAAGATGAACATAATGGCTACCCATCTGCATGGCTTTCAGTTACATGGTTACATAGATGATGTATAATCTATCAGAGCTGATGGTAACATAGACCTGCTTTTTGCTGAACTTGTAACTTATTCAGAGGCTTACAAAATGGTGCAATGCCTAATTAAACCACAAAGCTCACATTTTGATTAATGACTGTGCTCTCAGGTGCAAGTGCTATCCAAGAGCATATTGGATGCAACTGGAAGATATCTGAGCAAATACAGCACTATGAAGATTAATTGGGGTGTAGTTTCAAGTTTTGTAAAGAGTTTTATTGAGAATAAATATTCAGAATGATAAATAGCTTGAAACATTCTTACCCAAACCATTTTGATGAGAGAACCTTTGGAGGCCTTTAATAGTTTTCTTTCCCCCTTTATCGGTATTTTAAAGTAATATGGTGAAGTACATGCTGCCAGTAAACATTTAAATGTATTAAGCTTCATTGCTAAGAGATACTTGTGCACTGTACAGAAAAATAGTCAATCTTTTAAAAATAAAATTCTGTTGCAACTCCCACTCCCCAACAGCCTTCCTCCCCTACCTGTGTAGAATAATAGCAGGAAACAAGGGAACATTAAATGTCCATAACTAACCCAGAGAAATTGGAAAACAGCCATGACAACTCTGGACATCCTCAAGGGGGGAGCTTCAAAAGCCATCCCTCAGCATTGAAAAGGTCCCATCTCCAGCATGTCCTCCCCCGCAATAGGAAACAAGAAATAGCGTATGTCACTTTCCTTGCTGTACCATCATTTTAATCATTCTTTAGTGGCCTTTAAAGAAATTTGCGTTTCTTGTCGGAGGCCAAAAATAAAAGGCTTGACATTTGGAAAAGGATCATTATCACTCATTTTCATTACTCATTTTGTTGTTTGATAGAATACGCTTATTAGGGATGAGTGAACTGGCTCAGATAAATTAACACCATTGTCCCTCAAAATTTTCATCCAAAACTTTATTCAGATATTTTTAAAGATGTTAGCTTGACATATTTCCTCTGTTGTTTTTGCCCACATACGCCCTCCAGGGACTGTGAAGTGTAAATTCCAAAATGCTGCAACTCAAGCTGTTCTTGTGAGATTTCCAATTCAATTTTGAAGCTCCAAGTAGCTTGGATAGTTCACACAGGCATCCAAGCTTTCGGATCCTTCGGTATTCAAACACACTGTTGACATTTAAGTCCTATGCCTACGTGTGGTACTTAAGCAAACGGATAAATTCATGTTGTCAGCTTTCAGAGTAACAGCCGTGTTAGTCTGTATTTGCAAAAAGAAAAGGATGCTCAAATAAATTGGTTAGTCTCTAAGGTGCCACAAGTACTCCTTTCCTGTTGTCAGCTTTACATCAAGAACTTTAGAATTGTCTGTATATTTTTGCCCCAGAGTTCTAAACTTAGCAACCATAAAGAAGAGCTAGATAACTTTTACTGTAATTAGTGCAACCTTAATGTCACGTCAAAATGACATGACATTGCTAGACTGAACAAAACAAGTGTACAAACAATTTTTTTTGGCTATATCCATAACTTAATAGGATGTAGTCTCTCTTTGGATAGACAGGCAAAAGACCATTGACAGACGAATTCTTACAGCAGTATCATAACTCAAGGCATTTTCCAGAAGGATTTGTTTATAATTAATTCCATTCTATTTTCATCTGGCAGACTACAGTAACAGTTTGAACAGCCTCAAATATTGCTTTGTAGGTTCAAACTGGATTGTTCATGCAGAATTCTCACAGCACACCAAAAAGTGTCTGACAAAAAGCATCAATGCTTGCTGTCCTCAGGACAGCAATGGCAGAGACTTAAAAAGGACTCTCTCACCATTTTGACATACTGAGTGGATTGGGAAAGTATGGTCTTAATAACTGCCTCTCCCAAAGTTTATTTCTAGGCAGAAGAAATGAGTGTGTTGCAATCCCTTACCTTACTCTGCACTGAAGGTACAGCATAGCTCACAAAACTTGGAGCCAATGGTATGTCATAGAATTATTCACACACTTCCTGCAAGAATTCTAAATCTTTCTATCCTGGTAAAATCATCATCTAGCGCTGAGAAAAAGCAATAATATTTACAGGAAATAGTTACTTTTGTCTTCAGGTACTGACTGTTGGATTGAAGACCGATCTGAAATACAGTCAAATCTCTGGATACTTTCTTCCCTACTCCCAAAATATAAACCCACTATAAACTCCCTCTTTATAGAAGCAGAAAGCTATTGTTCACTTCTCCGAAAAAGAATAACTTGTATAATATTGCTGACTTAGAATGGCTGACACATTCCACATCTACAGATCAATATTTTCAGCATAACAATGTGCTCACCAAGCTATTCTTTCTATAAGGATAAAGTATTCGTTTTATTATTACGAAGATAGGGTATCCATCTATGAATAATCAGGGATTGTTCATTAGCGATAAACCATAACACAGTATGAAGGACAAAAGGAGAGAAAACTTTAAAATGTCTGCATCATGATCAATAAGCAAAATCATAGTGATGTTTTATGCTATGTTGTGCAATCACCTTAATCCGACTAGCGTCAGTAGGTAATTTCAAACCCTAATAAAAACAATATCATACAAATTGCACTGGAACAACAGATCACATCGTTCTGCATTCTCAAATTGCATATAACTAAACTAATATAGTTAATACTATCATCCAGTTGGTGTAACAGATGGCAACCATACACTTATCTGAGGAAAAAACATTTTAGGAAATATTCAACATGAAAAGCTGTATTAATGTTTATTATTCCAGTTTCACAGTGAAACAGCTCAATGACATAAGCTACAGTAATATGCCTCCCTTCTTCCTGTCCTATACTGCTATACTTCACAAAAAAAGTTGTGGAATGCAAGCATCCATCTGTAGGAAATACTGAATTTTATCCCACAAGTTATTTTTCCGTGTAGGTGTGGAGATGAAGCGAAGGCTCTCCCTCCCTCTTCCCAAAAGTAAATAATAAGGCCATGTACTTAACAGGGCTTATAATATTTTTAAAGCAATTCACAGCCAGACACAGTTTTACCAAGTTTGGTGGTCACACCACACATAAGTCAGTTTCAGAACCGTGCTTCAGGACGTGGTAAGGGTGGAGAGCAAGTTACAGCTCAGGTTCTGGTAGCGCCGTTCTCTCTCATTCCCAGAAAAGTCTGCCTGCACTACGCAGAGAAATGGCGCGTTCACAGTCACGCTAGAAAATGGCTGTCAAGCGGGGTGCTAGAAGAACCACATCTGGTGTCTGATCTCACCATTTCTGAACACTGCTGCCTGTGCCTAGCAAAGTTCTCCGAATGCACACAAGGCTTAATCTGTACAATTGTTTCTGGATGCATAAGAACTCAGGAATTTTCTTTTTAAGCCACTCCCTACTACACCAGTATGTCGAAGGAGAATCCTCAAGTAGTTACTTTAAAATACGGAAAGAAGAATCCAAACAGCTTTGGCATAAGTTGAAGATCCATCTATTTCTATTAATGCTGGTGTCTTTGGGAGTTTTTTCTTTTTCTTTTATGAATTCCTGTGAATCAACAAACTCCTTTAATTTAAAAACGTACTAAAGTTAAACTTGCCTCTGTGTCAAAGGACGTGAAAATTTCATTAAGTTCAAAACTTGATTGACATTTCTATGCCAGGCTGCTTTTGAAATTTAGCGTTACCTTTGTTTTTCTTTGAAAGAACTCCTGCATTTTTATCAGGAAGGATGGGGTAGCTGATTGAGAATTTCAATTGCAGTGAACATGCCGACAGCTGAACAGACGCCAGTAGTAACTATAAGCATCCTAGAGCAGATGGACATGTATTCACAGGAACACAAAAGATACAAGAGTCTATTTTATCAAATTAAACTACAAAATTAAAAAAATAAGTTTGGCTTCATGGTATCTGTTTCATTCAACTTTTACAATTCCTCCTCCCTTTCCCACCTGTCTTGATCCCCCTACACACAATGAACAGAAGCACTATAAACTTAATGCAAATAGCCTACTTTACAACAATGCAAGCCCATCACTAGCTAAATACTTGGGTTAAAGAGCACCAGCTGGGATGCATGCAGTTTAGCATTCACTTCTGATAAAAGAGCCTTTAGTTTCCAGGGAAGTGAAACCCATGCTTCTGTTCACCTCTGTAACACGCAGCCTAGATTGTATACAACATTCTAGCATATTAGATTTTAAAGTGATATTAGTATTACTGGGAAGGCCTAAATAGATTTCAATGAATGCAGAATGAAAAATAGTACCAAGATTTTCCAACACTGCATTACTAAAGAGTTAAAAATTTAACATGCCACATCTCACATGCCAAATTTAGTCCAGTGCTTCCAAAGTAACAGCCATACTTTGCTATACATTTAAATATACTGGAAATTGTTCCAAAAATGAAACTTAGGGATAACAATGGAAAACAATTTCTGATAGAGATCCTCCAATCTGTAAGGACCCAATGTGTATCCCAAATGTGTATCCTGTGTGAAAAAGGAAATCCAGTAAAATTATTTAAACAAAGACTACTTATTCTGAAGAATTTTCCAGCCAGCAAGCTGATTTTCATCCCCTATAGATCCTTGCAAATATAAAAGTACAAAACGATAAAAAATTCAAAGGCTGGTCAAATTGACTGGATTATGAAACCTATCACCACTTAATATTCTAAAGTATCCAAGATATTAACATCAAAACATTATTAAAGAGGGAACACCTTTTCACAAATCTTTTTCTCTTAGGTACTACAGGCATTGCAGTATTCTCCATTATGAATTTTTAGTAACAGATAAGAGATATTGCAGGGCTTCCCTCTATTAGTATTCCCTGCTGATCAGGTGTATAACTAGCATGAAAGTCTATTCCTGAACTATACAGCTTCTCCTGAAAAGGTGTTCATTTAAGAAACAAGAAGGAAGACATAAGTGTCAACTTTGGAAGCGGTGGTTACAGGGTTTTTCAGTTATCTTTGCACTGAGAACTATTACGTAAAATTCCAGCCCCAAAGCAAATTTTACAGGCAAGTTTTAATTGCCTTTAAAAAACAGCAATAGTAAACTTAAACAGAGTAGCAGTCCCGGGAACTGTTTTAATACTGAGTATTTTAGCAACTGAGCACCATCAGGACCAACTCCAAAATTAATTTTAATGTTTATTCTGATAGAAGAGTAGACACCTAAATGAAAATATAAATTTTGATGCTCCATCAGCGTACGTAGCATTGCACAAAACAGCCATGGTTCTTGCTTTCAGTTTTTGAAGTTTGCAGTTGTTACTGCAGAATGAGACCTTCAGAAAAGGAATTAAAGTGAACTACATTAGCACAGGCCTTCTCTATATAGAAAAGCTGTACCAATTTAACCAGATCAGTAAAACTACTTTAGTTCAATCACTGAAACCCCCTTGTGTGGACACTGTTTCTGTATAAGAGTGCCTTATATTGATTTAGAGATCCATATAGGGTCTTGTCAATGTGGTAACTACAACTGAAATACCTAAAATAGGTTGAAAAATCACATCTTTATTTATTTCAGTGTAAATTTGTGTGGGGGCATGTATTTTGGCTTAGGTGCCCTGTTTGATATAACAAGTCAAAATATGACACTCCTCATCCAAAATAAACGTTTCCACACTCAAACTTTCCTCAAAATAACTAAGTGTGAATTATAACGAATTTGTTATTTTGGCTCCAGCTGTCATGTAGACAAGCCCTAAGAGCAGCCACACAAAGGGGATGCACCAAATTCACAAAACAAATTCCTAACTCAATTTAGTTAAATCAGTACAATTTACTTATGTGGCCAAGTGCCAGGAGATATGAAACACATTTTAGTGTTTGAGTAAAACACCCATGAAAGATAAATCAGAGTAGTCCCCCCGTGTGAAATATTTTCCATTTCCTTCCTCATTGTGGCAGTTCCCACGGGTCTCCTACTAACACCACCTTTCCAGACACTAAGACAGAAAAGTTATTTCAGACACTGCCCTAACCAACTGCATTGTTAGTAGTGTCCATTTTGGTCTGACAAATTGCTAATGCATTAAAGTCTGCCAAACACAAAATAGTAAATCTTTTAGGGGTGAAATTTTCAGACTGTGGCTAGAAGCATAAATCCCTCCTCCCACAAGGTGCTCCCCCCGACCCCGCAGATGGTCACAATAATATAAATAAAGTTTCAATAAAGGTCTAATCCTATGAAGTGCTGAGTTGAACTCTATGGTTATATTTGCAAAGAGCTGCCAGCTCTGATGTATTTAAAGCAAAAGGTCTTTTTCAAAACTAATAATTGGAACCCATACGGTGCTGAGTTGAGCACAGACAATGGCTCCAAATAAGATGTTCCATTAAAATCAGCATTTCACAAGAGAACAAAGGGGTATCTTTCCTTACAAGTCCCAACATGCACAGATTTCTCTGGAAATCACCCAATTTTGCTATTAAGAGTTGGGAGACCCTCTATTCCAGAGGCAAGCGTCCACCTCCTCTCTTTCAAATTCCTCTTCAAACCATATTTCTACCATTCAGTCCATCAAGCTTAATGTACCGCCCAGGTAATGTTTTTTTTGTTTTTTTTTTTTAAAGGTATTTGTATTTGATTGGTCACCAGTAATGTCATATTGGACTGAAAGCAACTTGTGGCAGCGAGCTTTCTGGTGTATATTCTATATGGCTCTGAGATGACTGTCACTGCTAGCTCAATAAGTAAAAATAGTAAAATAATAATATCGTAAGTGACTAAATACACATCACACCTAGGGATAGGGGTGACCAAACTTTTTTGGCACACAAATCAAACACCCATTATTTCAAAATGAATTTGTCATGACTATTACATGACTGCTGGCACATTGTGCAGTCTCACACCACACACAGAATGTCTGCCTATTTCCCCCATTGTTAGTCTTACCCAATACTCCCTTTTGGAATAAAGCACTTATTTTTGCTTTGTGCTAGGACGTGAGTGTCTGTATTAACTGTAAGAGTACAGAAGCGAGAGATAGCACTATTAGCAGCCGCACTGTGTAAGAGTCAGTCTTCCAGAAGGCCACAAGTGAAAATTCATTATAGTGTCAAGTAATATGCAAGAAACACATTGAATGTGCTGCATATGGACCCACCCTGCAGATTAGCCACTAGTGCTGTCTCAAACTGGGCTAGGGTTCATCCAGACGGTTCTCAAATGTGTCTTTCAATTCAGGTGAAGGGAAAGGCAAACTCATGTCAAGGATGATATAAATCTTGTGGTTGGTGATCCAAGAAGCCAGAATGCTGATGAAAAATTAGTGTTCTGGACTGGAGAAGTTTAAAATGTCACTGAAAAAGTTATTAGTAAGAAAATATACATTTTAACTATAAGCAATGAAAGCTATTTGTACATAAAATGAACAAGGTGTCATGCTGATGTATAAAAATAGTAAAAGGAGATTGTTTACACAAAACCCAAAAGAAAGCCAGGCACTTTTCATTTATCAAATATTACAAATTCATTAATGGGATCAGAAAGTTCATTCCTGGGAGGCAGCGCTTAAGTGAAAACCTATAGTCAATATAGGACTATTGCATTTCAAAATGATAAGGAAATAAAGGTGGCTTCTCAAGACATACATGCTCAGATTGTTAACAGGGAATTGACATTTCATTTGTCAAGAGTTCTGTTCTATTCAGGTTCTTAGGTGGTGCTCATCATCAGGGTATCTGAGCACTAAATCCCCATGCTGCCCAGAATTTGGCTTACAGTTAGTTTGGATTTTTACAGTACTTCATTCTTTTCTGTCTTCATTTCTCTATACACTCTATGCAAGTGTTCAGTCTTCCTTTTTATATTAACAAAGCTTAAGTTAAGTGAATGCACTGCAGCTCAAACTATTATTTTGTTATTTGTTTAGCTCTTAAAATAGGGTAGGCACTTTACAAAACATACAGAAGATGTAGTGCCTGGAAGCATTTACAATCTAAATATACCGCATATGCTGTTAGAGCTTCCACTTGTACATCTTGAAGCACCCGGATACTGGATATTTGCACATACACAACACCCTAGCAGTGGAATTCTCTTCTTCATAATAGTGAAAGCAGGGATTCCTTTTTTCTTTTTCTTCTTTTTTTCCCCAAACTTAATTTGAAAATATGTTTCACTATTTCTGCTATTGTTGCCATTTATCACATATTGCTCCTCTCTGGGCAGCACTCTGATGTAGTGACAAGTGTTTTGCAAATCAACAAGTAAATAAAATAAAGCGGGGGCAAACTGGGATTTGGGGGATAATGTTGAGGTAGGTCCTGATGTCCTTGTCCAGGGTTCTGCTGGTGGGTGTGCCGCCCATACAAGCGAGGTAGATGGCAGATGGACAGGTTAAGGGTAGTTTGCTATGGGGACTGGATTGGTGATGGGATGGTGGGGGCTGCCCTGCTGTAAATTGCTTTGAGATCTACCAACTAAAACCAGCTCTCTACATCCAGAGTCATATTTTGACAGTTGCTTATTACGGTGGCTAGCTGTGTGAATGGGGATTGTGGGGGGCAGTAGGATCAGTGATGTTAAGGGGGGGGACCCCATTACTGTACACATCCCAAAGCACAGATCTCAGGGGCAGGGCAAAGCTGAGGTGGGTGGAGGGGCTGAGGGGGTACAAGGTTGGAGGAGTAGGGGAGACTGAAATCTTCTCTCACATGTGCAGCCAGGCAGTGGGGGCGAGGGGAATCTACATGCACATCCCCAGCCAGAGCCTGCACAGGGGGAGGGCGGGCAGAGGGTCACGTCCCTGGCCGAGGCGGTGCGGGGGAGGCTGGGCTGGGCTCCCCGGGGAAGGGATCGGGGGCCCGGGCTCCCGGACTCACCTCTCACGTCCCCGGCCAGGGCCCGCCAGGTCGGGGCGAAGCCGATGCAGTGGCCGCACGACGAGCTGTAGAACTGCAGCACCCAGGCGGCCGAGGAGTTGAGCAGCGCCCGGCGCACGGTGCCCGCCTCCAGCACGGTCAGCGGGTCCTCCCCGGGCCGGTACAGCCGCGCCGCCTCCCCGCCCAGCCCGGCCGCCGCCACCAGCCCCAGCAGCAGCAGCAGCAGCGGCGGCGGCGGGCCCGGGGGGCAGCCGCCGCCTGCACCACCCGCCGCCATGTTGGGAGCCGAGGGGAGGGGGAGGCCGGCCCTCGCTCGCCCTAGCAACAGGCCGGCCCTGGAGACGGGCCTAGGCCAGCCCCCGGCGCCCGGCCGGGGTTGGCACGCAGGAGGGGCGGGGCCAGCGAGACACGCCCCCCAGGGCTTCCGCACTGACACGCCCCTCGGGTGCGGGGAGTCGCTCCGAATTAGCCCCCTCTTTTTCTGTACGTAGGCAGGGGCTTCCGCAGTGACACGCACGACAGGTAAGGGGGAAGTCACCCCGAATCAGCCCTCCCCCCAACACTAGGACTTCTGCACGGACACTGCCCCACAGATGAGGGGGAGTCACCCCGATCCAGACCCCCCCATCCACACAGGGGCTTCCACATTGCCCCACAGGTGGGGGGGGTCAGCCAGAATCAACATCCCCCAATCATTATGTAACCCCAACATCAGCATTACCAGCCCCAAGCCTTCAAAAATCAAGAGATATAAATAATAATAAACTTGGGGTTCTGTTTATTTGCCTCCTGGTTTTCAAGCCTTTAGGGGATCCTGTCTTTGATCCTTTCTCTGCAGCCAGGGGGCCTAGAAACTTACTGGCTTTTTTATTTACTTGACAGCCAAGAGTTGCACCTAATCACAGGATTCCAGGAGCTGGGACTTTAAGAAAAATGCCAAATATCATGAGACTTGAGATAAGATTGTAAGAATTGGGGAACGCTGCCTCCAAGTGAGGGAGAGTCACTCAGAGAAACTCACTCCAATGAGGGAGTCATCCCCAAAATGGAGAGTGGCACCCCAAGCAAATCACTCAAATGAGGGGAGGCCCTGCAAAATGAGAACAGGTATCCCCCTGAAAATAGAGCGGTGCTGCCCTGAGAATTGTCCCCCACCAAAAAAATTGCATCTTGTCCCCTCAAATGAAGCTGTCCTGTCCGCCCTAAATGAAGGAAAGCGCCATATAAATGAAGTGGAGTCTACACCCCCCCAAAGAAGCTGCGTTTCTCCCTTACACTGGTGAGATTCGGAAGCACTAAAATGTTGCATGGAAACACACACTCACAGCCAAAACTTGCATCATAAAGGGGCTGCTGCTTTAAAAGTATCTCAAAATCAATCTTCTTATACTTCCCCATCTGAAAAAAATTCCCCCATACACACACTTCAAAATGGGGCAGAATTCCCTGCTCCCAAATTAGGATCTGCCCTAATTTATGGTGGTTATGGCCACAGTTCCCACTGGGCTACTCAGTGGCCCAGAAAAGCTTGACAACCAGCATTCCCAACACTTCCCCTTCTACCCCTGATATTCTCCCATTCGTATTCTGTTAGTCCTTCAGCATGTCCTTACCCTGGGGGCTTTGTGTGTGGAGTGTCCTAGGGCTGCCTGCACCAGCCCACCCCTGTACAGGCACAATTTTTGAGGGCCTGTTCTGCTCCCTATGCCCCCACATATACAATTAGAGGAGAGTAAAGGGGGTCACAGTTAAGAACCCCACAGTGGCTGGACTAGCGTATCCATTGGTAATAATAGCTACGGTTTTTTTGCATATTCTAAAGCCTGGCCTTGTTTTCCAAGGAAATTGTTGACTATACAATTAAGTAACAAGAGACGTTATCATGGAAGTGCAGGAGAATGAACAACACCAGAAACATTTCTACAGTTTATTTTAAAAATTATACATTTATTATGAAAATAAAAGTTTTTAACTTCATGACATTTATTCCTGGCTCATGGAGAAGAACAGTTTAAAACTATGGCTGTGAGGAGCTGGGATCAATCCTAGTAAGAACCATATTTTAAATTGTAGAACTCAGCAGGAGAGAGACACTAATGGAACTACAGTACTTTAAAGTTCTTTCAACACACAGGACATGATAAAAAGACTGACCAGAACTCCCCACGTTCTAAAGAGGACTTTTGAAATACTGTCCTTTTTAAGTCAGGTTGGTTATAAACTAGTAATTCATTTCTAACACCTCCTGTAGCAGTAGCAAACATACCAAAGCCTTCTTTCATTTGTAGATGTAGGATTAAGGATTTTCTTTACATTACCAAAGAGAGAGAAAGAGAGAATGTTCCCGAGAGGGAGAATTCAAAGGACTCTAAGAACTCACATAAATTCCAATAAAGAATGAAGTCACCCAAAACCCAGCTAATTCTTACTTTGTCTTTTTAGGGTACAGACAAACTCATCTCTTAACACTTCAGGGTAAAATAGTAAACATACAGGGCCAGATTCTTATCTCAATTACACCAGAGTAAATTCAGATAGTGGAATCTACTTCCATGATAATTTACTCTGCATTTACACTGATGTCAATGTCCACATGATGTCTATAGTGCGGATTAGAACCTTACAAATACCTAACATAAAATAAAAGAATAATGCTGATCTGAGAATCAGAGACCAGATTCTGCCACCTTTATTTATGCTGAGTAGCACTTACACAAGTGAATAAATGTGTAGAATTGGGTTGTCTGTTTGTTTTTGTGTGCTTTTGATTTGGTGCATGCAATGTCCTTTGACTGGATATTTGGTAAGGGAATGTATTTTCATTGCAGCAAAAAAGTGAAGCAACGTGAAATGGACCAGGCAAAAGAAAAGGGAATAATGTGGCTGAAAACGTATGGCTCTCCAAGCTGTGTAAATGCAAGAAAACTATGGACGCTGACTCTGCAGTAAAACAACGTTTTCAGCAGATAGGCCACTTGCTGCAGAACCCCGTGGGCTTGTCTACATGAGAAAACTGGCTGGCAGAACTATAGTGGCATAATTATAATGCTGTAGCTATGCCAGTATAACTCCTCTTGTGGACACACTATACTGGAATAAAGTGACTTGCTCCAGAACAGTGTTCAAACTGGGGGGAGGAGGACAGGGGCAGACGGTCATCAGCATTGCCATAGAGGTATAATTATACCGCTATAGTGCTGCTGGTCAATTTCCCCATATAGTCAAGCCCAAAGAATAAAAAAATCAACATCTTTGGGTAAAATTCACAGAGGACCAATATAATGGCCTATACATCCTATTTTGAGGGTATAGACCTTACCCTGGCCTCCGCATAGGAGTGAATTTCACCCCTTAGAAGCAGCCACAAACTACAGAAATGCCAGGAAGGAGGAGAATAACTGACAGAAATGAGCTTCATGCCTTTGGCCTTCCACTACTTCTGAAACTCCTCATACAACCAGATCCGGTGTGTCCATGATGGTGTGATGGTGATGGGTTTTAAAAAACCCCACCCAGACAGCAACAAAAACACCCAACCCCCCCCCCGAAATGTATTTGGGAATCTAATCCCCACTGTGTTAGGGCTAGTACGATTGGAGAGTCTCAGCCCAGTCACAAATTCATTGTGAATATTTGAAAGTGTTCTTTACCTGATGATGATGATTATTTGTTATCATAATGCCTCAGTGCTCTAATACTGGGCCAGGACCCCATTGTACTAGGTGGTGGACAAACCGAACAAAGGCAGTCCCTGCCCCAAAGAGTTTACCATCGAAGTATAAGACAGGAGACAACAGATGGATACAGATGGACCGAACAGGAGTACAAGGAAATAATAAGACAGTATTGGTCAGTGTAATAGGCAGCGGTCCCAGTACACCAGCTGCCTTACCTCTATCAAATTTTTTGTAGACTGTTTGTTGGCAAGGAAAGATTTAAAGGAAGATAATGAGTTAGTTTTCCAGTTGTTTACAGGGAGTTTCTCCCAAGCATGAGGGGCAGCGTACGAAAAAGCATGAAGGTGGACAGTAGAGACTGGCATTATGTTCTGACTGGAGGTTAAACATTGTTCAACACTGAAGTTTTACCATCACCGAACAGAAATGAGCAAAAGTTCTCGGGATGTCAAATACTTTTTTGCATTTGGCTAGATCTATATTTTGAGATCAAATTTCCATGAAGCCCTTTTCACTATATATTTGTTGTTTTTAGCTGTTGTACCATAAATATCCAACAGGCCAAATTCAGAGAGAACATAAATGCTGGTATCACCCCTTGATTTATCCTTTACTCTCCTGTTAATTGTTTCACCTGCTACACACCTCTTTGCCACCCCTTACCAGTCTATGTTCCTTTACATCTACTTACAGAATTGTAACTTATGCCACTCTTTGTGTCTTTATATTCTTTTAATTTGATCCAAAGAATTTTCTGTCTCTATTTTTATTGTATATCTAATGCAACAAAATGAGATTGTTTCAAGAGTGGAGTCTAAATTAATCAAAATCTCATAGTTACTGCTAACGAGGAATTTAAATTGGCAATGTTTAAGATATTTTAGGGTGCAATTTATTCAGAAGAAGAATTGTTAAATGTGTGTGACTGAAAGAGATGGATTACAGGAAAATTAAATGTAGGGTTTAACTGAGAAATAATCATTTTCTATGAAAGATAATGACTTCTTTTGAGGCTAGTATCAAGATTTATTGACCCAGGAGGTTTTAATATTGATCAAAACCAAGGCAAGCAAAATATTAGACCTTGAAATAAAGTAATCTTGATATTGAAGTCTTGCCACTGCCTGAACAGGTCAATATATCTGGGTGCCAAAGTCTAAGGCTTTGTACACATAATGGTGGAGGATATTAAACACGTCTGACATGTTCTGTGTATAAACTTTTTATTCCCATCAAGCAGCAGTTACTTTATAGCTTTGTCCTTCTTCCATATATAGTTATCCTGCAAAGGTTCAGGCGTCACTTAGGTTCCTGATTGCTGCTGTAATGGTCATCTCTCTCAAGTGTAACATACAGCCCTGCAATCTGAATACTCTAAAATAAACCAAGCCCTTGAGGCACTCATTCACATATATAAATTATACTCAAAAATACTTCTTTATTGCTAACATACATAACAGGTATCCTTGATGATGGTGGTACTAAATAATAAGAAAGTCAACTTTGAGAAAACTATGGTGCTTCAATATATAGATGTGTTACCGTACCCAACAACTTGTCTGTAAGACCAGGGCAGGAGCAAACTGAGTTAATAACCCATCTAGCTGACTGGGAGAGAGTGCTG